TTATAGGTGAAATTATACTCCAGACGAATGATTAATAAATTTTCTTTATTAAGGAAAGAAAATATGTTTTAGGTATCCTAGCCCTTCGCATGACGGCCCTGCAGATACCGCAGCACGTCGTTCTGAATGAAACGGTTCGTATGCAGTGCAACTTCAATCTGGACAATGAGGTATTGTACTCGGTGAAATGGTACAAAGACGGCCACGAGTTTTATCGTTACTTGCCCAGGGACGTGCCCAGCGTTCAGACGTTCCGTGTGACCGGTGTAAACGTGAACGTGAGTATCACTCAAGGCGCGACGATCGGTTTTGACATGATACCATAAAGAAACGGGCTGTTTCAGACACAAAATTCCACGGAAAGGGCGGTGGTGTTGAACAACGTGAATCTGATCAGCTCAGGCAGGTATCGATGCGAGGTGTCCGCCGAGGCTCCGGCCTTTCAGACCGTGTCTGATCACGCGGACATGACAGTAGTAGGTGAGCGCTTTATCAATGTATTGACATTTATTGATGACTTCGATTCGTTGAACAAGAAACCCTATCCTTTCAGTTCTTCCCGACGAAGGGCCACGAATAACCGGTGGTCGTTCTCGTTACAAAGTGGGAGAGGTCGTTCGTATGAACTGCACCTCCGCGCCCTCGAAACCCGCTGCTCTATTGACTTGGTTCATCAACGGTGACCCGGTAAGCAACCGCTAACAAAATCCAAAAGCTTTTTCAACCCCTATCCCCAGATCTTTCAAAAGAAATTGCATCTGGATAGTAGACACGCTTAGTTTTACCCAAGACACTATGCAGGACACTGATCATTAGGGACCTCTGGAAGATGGAGCCAGCCTGCAAGTTCAGCAGTACTGTTTATGACTTTGTCCCTAGACCCATCTCATCTCATCAATTTCGCCCCTAAGGGCCGGCGCTTTTGGGGACTTATCTGTCCCAATATTGCCCAATGAACGCTATCGTCCACGCGCATCGGGGATGGGCTGGCAGCACCGCCAACCCCAAACCCCGCGCATTGTTTAAATTTCTCCCCCTTTTCCTCTCGATACTTTTACTTCTGTATACTTGTCCATACTTTTAGATCCTATACCCAATCCATACTTTTAGTGTCCGCTCGTCTTAATCGGTGCATGTGTATATGTATGTGTCTGTGTGACCCCTTTCAGTCGCCTCTTACGACAGGCAGAGGATACCGTGGCCGTATTCTAAACCCCCCGAGCCACAGGGGCCTTTATACTCTAGACCCAGTTATTCAATGGGGATCCTCACTGTATGTACACCTTATATCCTTATGGACATACTCATCCCTACACAGCCCCAAAGACACAAGGGCAACATTTTCAACTTAGACAGCAGTTACGTCCATGTTCTTATGAAAGCAATTGGATCTTTGACTTTCAGGCCGACTCGCAGTACCTGAAAGGACCGCACATTACAGCGGTGGACGAGAAGGGCCTGGAAACGGCGGTGCTAGGCTTGGAGTTCCGCGTCACCAAACAACACTTCAAGCGAGGCAACATGAAACTAAAGTGCTTGGCGACAATAGCGACCGTTTATCTGCAGAGCAACGAGGAGAGCGTGAAAGGGGGCGAGACGATCCCGAACGCCCCTGTAATGGAGAGCCGCGAGATCAACCCACAAAGCCACACTCGCAACGATTTAATGAATGGTAAACTTCCCCTTAAATCCCTGATCTGACCATTTTCAACCTTCAACTCTTTTTCAATTTTTTTTTTCTTTCTTTTTTCATCTTCAGTGTTTGAGATTCAATAGACAGAGGTATTATGGTAGAAGTGGTTTTCAGGAAGGGTAAAAGTGTATCAGAAATGTTGCAATTATTTCTTTGCCTACTGCGTACCCCTCTTCAAGGGGTGGTTGTTATCTGTAATGTCTTGCGATGAATACTTCAGTGGTACAAAGAGGATTATACGACAAAACTGAGCCGAAGAAAATAAATCCTGTATAAACTATTATTCTGAATAATTGTGGCAAGAAGAAACTGTAAAACCTCTTCTATTTATTGTAATACTCTAAATGCTAATGATATCCTAAACAACAGGTATAATCTAATAAATGAAACAATGTTCCTTTTCAGGAAGCCAAACTGCAATGACACTCAGCTGGATGATCATTGTTTTAATCACAGGAGTCATCCTAACGCGATAATAATGACACTGGTTTTTTTTCACGTTGCTTCCTTAAGAGTGTAAAATGAGTACGCTAGGAGAACGTTCCCATCGTATCTAATAATAATTTTTAAGTCGCGTAATCGTAATTAAATATCATATCGATAAAGATGATAAGGGTGGCGTTTAATCGGGCGTCCCTGACGCACAAACAGTGGTAGATCCATGAAATTTGCTTCTCCTCTTCCTATCACTTTAGCTTCATCATTGAATTCAAACAATGAGGATAAATAATAAGAATCTTGAGATCTGCTTAACTTTTTGTTGATCATTTCTTCAACAGTGATTGTAAACTTAACTCTGACCCAAAAAATGGTGATCAGTTCCAGAATTTTAATAAGAGAACCCTTGTGGATCCGCCACTGATAAACCAAAGTATGTTTTAGGCTCTAAATGTATTCTTGCGTGAAGAAAAAGTCTCGTTTAAAACATATCCATGAAACAAACAGAGAGAAAATATTGCAGAAAAGAAAAAAGGGAAAAGAAAAGGAATCATGGAAACCAAAGGAAGCATCAATCCGTCTCTCCACATGTGTACATCCATACACATACATACATGTATACTTATGTATGTGTTAGGTCGTCCAGATCTCTTTTTAGCAACAAAAAGTAAAAGAAAAACACAAGAAAGTTCTTGTTGCTTTCCATTGATACATATTATTTTTACTACAATTTTATAAGGGTATTTCTATTTTTACTGCATATCATTTTTACACTTAATAAGAAGGTCTTTGTGGAAAAATTGTTTTTCCCCATTGCAAGAACTTGCTGTTCTTTTATACAAGTGCTGTGGAAAGCAATCATGAACAACTTTTGATAACTAATTTCACAAAGCAGTGCTGGGTAATCGCTAAGTTTTAATTAAATTGCTGTTTACAGCTATACAATCACATATATACCCTAGTATGATTGTTTCCAGTCTTTGAAATAATTACAACACGCTAACTTATCAATCAAATTGTAATATAATCAATTCTATCATAATTTTATATAACCATACATGTTTAATTACATGAAAAGTTATAGGATGTTTAAGTAGATATATACCCAGCACTAGCTAACAAGGTGCATCTCATACAACGTAATTTCAGCCACAGTGATATTCAGGAATATATTTTTATCTAGATTTTTACATTCAACGATCGTACGACTTTATCGTGTTTCAAATTTCCCCGCGCAAAATGGTACTATGCAATTCGTTTGAATTTGAGGAATTGAGAAACGTATCATATTCTGAAAGTGTTTAATGAGAAAAATATTTCTAAGCGGGAATTAATATGTAAGAGTATCATTGTGTCAATGTTTTAACAAATGTGTCTTCGCTTTCACGCGTTTAGTGCATGTTTGTGTATAAACTTTTATTCACATTTCAACCGAGGGCCCCAGGAGCAACGATACGCTCCTGAGCGCACACAAATCGCACAATCGTTTCCTTTTAACAGAGTCTTCCTTACGAAATTGCTGGACAACAAAACTTCAAAATAGAATGCAAATCCTTTTTCTTTCTCTTAAAAAATTTAGCAAAAATTATTTGACTTTATGAAAAAATCGTTTATGCATTTAATTCATATAAACAGTTGTCTTCCAATAAAAATAAGCAATTTCACAAGGAAGGTTGTTAATTATACATTGTTGATAATACTGTTATTTATTGGTGGAATTCTATTAATTACTCGTTTAATTGTGCTGTTATACATTCTATTGATACTTTCGTCATAAAAAAGCGCGCCAAAATTCGAATCGTAACTAGCTTGTTACGTACATCAATGCAATTACGTACGAAAGAAAGGAAAATGAAAGCAGAATTGCACATAAGACATCGTAATGTCTGGTACTTAAGCTAAAATACGAATGTGTTTCTTACATGGTAGCGTATCAAGATCCCGGTACATGTCGTATCACATAAGCATTTACGAAGATGTAAATATGTACATAATTTTCATCGTTATTAAAATTCACTATTATAATATTTTCTGTCTCTTTTCTTTTCCTTTCTGTACGCATATTACGAACTCAAATACTTTCGACAACATGATAAATAATGAGAATTAACAGAAAGATGCAAACACTCACCGATGCTGCGAAGAAATTTGCATGCCCCCCGGTGTTCCAGCGTACGCCATCCTTGGATATGTCTAATTATCTCAACACTTCGCTTTCACGACCGAAAATAAACACTTATTAAGGTATTAGAGATTCACACGACACGCATTCGAAAGATTTTAACATTTAGAACAAAATTTATTTGCAAAAAAAGTGCACTAAATCGCGGAGCGTCTGTACTGCGCGAACTTTCAAACCAAAATGGCGTCGCTAGCATCGCATACCGGAACTCTTCCCCCTCCCTTTACACATACACGGATATGTTGATGCGCGCGCCATTCAAAAATTGAAAAGGAAAGTCGTGTGATTAGTTATAAAATAGAACTAATTTGCAATAATTTAATGCACAACTTCGAAAAGAGCTTGGTTGAGAAGTAAATATATTTTCGTGAAATTACTTTATTATTCGCTTTTCCATAGACGTGTGATATTAATAATAATAAAAGGATTGGTAGTTATGTATTTTATGCATTTACCTTTATAGTGATAAATTTGCCGATGGTTAAGTGAAAAAGTTTCTCTTTTTACATTGTAAGATACTGACATTGAAGAAGTAACTGGTAGAGACTTACAAAATATTTTTAACTGATTGTAAGGAAAAAATACAAAATCTACTCTGAACATTTCATTTTTGATATAAAAACATAAAAATTACGAAATCATTGAAATGCCGATAAGGTGACTAGACTACAATTTTAAAGTAACGTATACATTTAACTACGAACACAATCGTTCGTAGATTTGTACATATTTTATTAAACATTTTATTTCCATTCACCTCTTTTCTTGACTATGCTTCTTACATTTCACTCTCGAATAATGAGTTGTTTTTATTTCATTGTTACATTATCTATTTTTTTAGTAGAATTAGTACGTTCGATTTATTTCTTTTAAGCCTAGAATTAAATATAAGTTTCGTGAAATGGAAATTAGTTAGCTCGCCATATTCTGCAACGAAGTTCGTCACAGAAACAATTATTTGCAAACTATTTGCAAACTTTTAACAGCTAGAAGAACAAATTTGGTGATCATTTAGACTAATTACTTAATTTTATCTGCTATTGGATTAATAAAATTTCAACATTTGCTCCAAATAATAAATAAAATTCTATTTGTTATTATAAAAAAAAAATTAGTTTTGTGTTTGAAAAGTCGTACTTTTCTTTTAAAAAAAAAGCAAAAACCCTTTTTTTCTGATTAAGTTTCAATTACTTATTCCTCGTTCTTTAAATTGTTTTATTACTTTTCCCTTTTGTTTCCTTACATAGGAACTCTAACAATGTTCTTAAAAATCAAATCCAAGCGAACTGAATTAATTAAGGCTCGGATTTTGTCCAATATCCCATTGAATTTCAATTCTGGGCCATTTTGTTTGAAGTACTGTTAACATTGGATTGCTTTCCATAATCGCCTTGATGGTACATTCTAATAAAACCGCTTGTCCTTTATGATACATCACTTTGTTGTTCGGATTACTGTGTCGAAGTCCATTATAATGATACAAGGGAAATGTATCAGGGCAAGTTCGAGGTTCTTCAGGGAAAAATTCATCCATGAAATTATTACGTAAAATAATTCCCAAATTTTCACTATCCAACTTTTTCCTCATTACATTGACGCTATAAAAAAAAAAAAACAGATTCAAATATAGAATATAATACATTCTTTAAACCGTAACACTTACTACTCTGGGTCTGTGACCAATCCAAGTTCAGCAAGAACATCTTGTAGTAAATTGGCAGGAATAAAATTATTTCCTTCGGGATCGAACTTCCTGAAAATTCTCTTTGCCTGATCCGCGGGTGTTTCTGGGCTCACCAGCCTATTCTCGTTCGAAAACAATACAGTCAAATGAGTCTCTGAACCCAACACCCAAATTGGATAGGATGGAGACTTCAAGAATGTTCCTACTTCGCAGTAACATAAATGCTCCAGAAGCGCAAGAAATCCTATCGTGTTTTGCTTATCTATTCCTCGCAATTCTGAAATTAATTATTATTTGAATGTTAATCAACAATGTAGTGAATCTAAGACATCATTCAACAGAAGTATACAGAGCTTTATATTTGAAAAAGATCGCCAAAAAACATGTGACCACAAATGGTATCTTTTGCTCCCCCTATCGATGAAATAAGAGAACTCGTTTTTTGAACTTGACACAAAATGGCGCCACTTTTTTTGGCGGTCTTTTTCCGTTAAAATTCCCTATGTAATACCAACATTTTCTTCAAAGTCATAGTTTCAGGATTATCAGTGTGCTCTTAAGAACACGACTCAATTTTTTGTATTCCTTTAATAGATTAAAGAGCACATCGACAGACATTCAGCGATGTAATTTACATGCTATTTACTTACGTGTGTACGAAGATATTTACCACGACGTCTGTAGCGGTTTTATCCTGATGTTCATAATACTTCGTTATGTTTATTTACATTGCTGATAACTTGTTGTTTTTACGAGATTCGTCATAAGTACGTGTCACCATTCATAGGTCACCAAACACCTTGTAAATGTAGAGATATAATACCTTAATATCATATCTGTTAAGTATATTTCAATACAAGTTCTATCAGTTAACGTTTAACGCAATCAGTTAACATTTAATACACTTAATCGCATATTTAGTGACTTATGAACAGTGATGTATATATTTGCTATTTATGTTACATATATAATAAATATCTTACTGAGGCCTCCGATATCTTGATCATGGTCCCATACATGACTGACTGCTCTACCAGTGAGCATCAGATTTATGAGACTTTGATTTCCATAACCATAAGTGGAATCAATCATTGATTCTGAAGGATCCGACATTTCAGAACAAATTTCGGAAATACCTTTTGTACCAATCACGCTATACAAAAGTAACAAGATTCCATATTTGGCTTTTAACATTTCCAATCTTTCCAAGAGGAATTCCTCCACTTGCTCCGAGGTATTTGTTGTAAACAACCTGAAATGTGAATTTGTTATTAAAAAAGCCCGATCGATATCACGATCAGATTCAATTATTTTACCTCAACTGAGAGTGGAAAGAATCAGACTCCATGGTCATATACTCCTCGTTTACATCTTTAGTCATCAACTCCTCATTTTCCTCCTCATTTTCTTTATTTTCTACATTCTTCTCTTCTTCGTGTTCCGTTTTAGACACATTCCCAGACAATCTGCTCTCTCCTTCATTGTTCTTGTTTGATAATTTACAATCCATGTACACGATCACGAACTTTGGAACCTTCTCTCCAGCAGCTTGTTTCAAAATTTCAACCGAAGCTTGCACAAGAAGGTGACAGTTTTTCTCCTGATTAATATTTCTCCAGTTTGAAATATCAGTCTCAGAGAGCAACACTTTCAAAATGTAAGCCTGAACTGGAGCTATTACTGCACATGGCCCACCTTTCTCTTGTATCAATGCTGTAGATTCATCTGGGCTAAAATAAAATCCTGAAACAATAAAAATGAATAATGTAAATAGGTCATATTCAACTGAAGAATTCATGTATTCTTCGTCCCTGAAACAAAAATCTCCTTATTTAATAATAAAACCAATGCTCATTTAAAACAGATGTGATCAATAACTGATTAAATTATCACTGCAATGGCATCAAATAGAAAATTAACTGAATTACAATACAATAAATAAATTTATGGAAAAATAAAAAGACCTACCTTGCGCCCATCGTTTAAACACATCTTCTTTGACAGAATTACCCCACAGCAGTGTTTTGATAGAACGTATCAACTCATCACCCTGAACAACATTTTCAGCCATTATCTACGTTTCCTGCGATTAATAGGACATTAAATCGCGTTTCATAGACTTGAATTATTTCAACGTAGTCATAATAATTTTTCTATAACTTTGACAAATCAAATTATCTTAATACTTCCTCATATATTTCAACTTATATCGGATAACCTATTTCACAAACGAAATACTCGCTAAACATGTCGCCATTTTGAATGTATAAACATGGCCAAAAAAGATTTGAGATGGACGAAACCCATTTTCCTATTTGAATTATACGGTTTTATGAATATTTATGAAATATATTTGAATATAAAGTATGTTTATTCATGACGGATAAACATACCTAAAATATATTATGAATATAATTTATTTAGATGTAGAAAATAAAAGTTATACAGTATCATTTATTTTTACAAACACTACTGTATTTTGCATATCAAATTCATCCTTCAGAATATCATATATGCTTCCAAACATAAAGAATACTTATTTAATGGTTAAGTAGTTGATTATTAAACAATCAACTGGTCAGAAAATTTAAACAGCGCGGTGCTAATATCGATAACCTTTCGATAATCGATGGTAATCGCGGCAGCTCTCTCGAAAGTCTGTCACCATTTTGAATTACTTTTAACTTTCAATAGATAATTCCCAGAGATGAAAAAATGTTATTTCCAGGGCTATGCTTGTTATTATGCAGAAAAGTATATGTAAATATTTACTTATATTATTATAATTATAACAGATGCTATAAGTTTTTACTTCACGTGAATTCATTTTACAAAAGGTATAGAAAAGTGTTGCAAATAAGTATTGCACTTACTTTGTTGCAACATTACTTCTTTACACTTAAATATAATGTTAATATATAAAAATATATGTAAATTCTATGCATAATTCAGCCTTTAAACATTATGGACCAAAATGACTGCATCCGTTTATTGCAACATTCCCAGAGCCTCCATTTTTAAATGTTGATGCATAGTATTATCTATATTTGTTATTCTAACATACATATACTGGTTATCGCCTACTAAAGATCATCAAAACATTATATATAACTCTTTTACATTACTTAACAGTTTTCTATCTGTGAACTTGATTTATATCAGTAACGAATACATATATAACTACTGTTTTTATTAGCTCCTCTAAGTTAGCGATAACCTATGACTTCCTCTGAGTCAAGATTAATCTTGATTGCTTTTCATTCCTGATACATACATATAACGACCCTTTCGTTTAATTTGCATAGTGTAAAAAAATTGCAGTACACAGAACAATGAAAAGTTTGGTGAATTCGATCAACGATAGTGTAACGGAAACTCTTTACGGCTTAAATTATGCTTATCCGCAATTAGAGTATCAAGTGTCACATAAAGTGGTTTTAATGCCAAGGGTTTGTACATACATAACCTTACACATTTATCAATCGATTGCATGATCAATGATTCGATTAAAGTAATGGTTATAATTAATTGTATGTAAACATAGATTTATTCGGAGATACAATGTTTTAGCTTCAAGATAAGAAAAATAAAGTATCTGTCATATGCGGAGGCGGAAGTGGACATGAACCATTCGCGGCAGGTCATTCGTTATTCCATTAATTTAAAAATAAAATAATTAAGAAAAATATCAAACCTGATGCAATATTTTTGTTTCAGGTTTCGTTGGAAATGGCATGTTGACAGCATCGATAGCGGGTTCAATATTTGCTGCCCCACCATCCCAACATATTAGTTACGCTATTGAACGTATTACCAAGCACAATAAAGGTAATTTAATTTATTGAATCTTCATTTCGATTATTATCAACTTTTCATCAAAGTTTTGTACCATTCTTCGATACTGTTTCGTTTGTAAAATCTACGAGCAATTTAAAATCAGAAGTTTGACTTCCGGAGAACCGCGTGTAAATCTTAGCCGACTTCCGGCGCGCCATATTTAAATCTCAATAAAGTTCACATGTTAGATTCCTTTTTTTATTATTAATAACAAAGAAATTGTATATATTTTTAGATGGAATTTTAATAGTAATTCCAAATTATACTGGCGATTGCCTTAATTTTGGAATAGCAATTGAAAGAGCAAGGAAAACAGGTTTAAAGGTAAATTTGATAAAAATAAACTGATCTTACAAATTACGTTCTCCTAAGTTTCCTCTACATTTTAGGTGGCGGAAATAACTGTAAACGATGATTGCAGTATACCAGACAAGGAACAAAGTGTAGCTGGTAAACGTGGTTTAAGCGGGATGCTATTTGTTATCAAAATAGCCGGTGCATTAGCTGAGAAAGGATCTCCATTAGAAGAAGTCCACAGAACAGCAGAAATTGTTCTGCAAAATACGGCTACTTATGCAGTTGGATTAACTGCTTGTGCAATTCCTGGTGTGTTGATTTGGTGCAAACAATAGTAATCATTATTCAATAAAATAAATTCCATTTATTGGGCTTTAGAGGAGGTCAGTCGTTTCAGAATTAGTTGGAAATAAAAATGATAACTAATATATAAATAATATATGCTTCAGGGCAACCACCGATGTTCGAACTACCGGAAGATGAAATAGAATGTGGGATGGGAGTCCATGGGGAAGTCGGATACGAGAGACTTAAATTGAAATCCTCTAGCGAAGTCGTTGCATTCATGTTGAAACACATTTGCACTTCGTTGTCATTACTAAGCGGAGATTCGGTTGCAGTTATTGTTAATAATTTTGGGGCACTGAGTCAGTTGGAACAGGGAATCGTTGTTCACGATGTGGTGAAACATCTAAGTAAGTACCATCATTAATTTTCCGATTAATTATGATAATTAAGATTCTATATTTTCGTTGATACAGCAAGCATGAACATAAAACCCCTACGTATATACTCGGGAGTCTTAGTGACATCATTGAACAGTGCTGGAGGGCACATCACTCTTTTAAAACTACCTGAGGCCAACAAGAAGGCCTTCCTAAGTTACCTGGACGAGCCTACTAATGCACCAAAATGGCCAGGTTGCGTGTATAGCATACCTTCAGAAAGTATTCCGCCAGTTATTCAAGATAAAGTACTGAGAAAAATAGAAAAGATTGGGATTCAAATCGATCCAAAGCAACAGGCAGTATTGAAACAGTGTATACAAAGTAGTTGCAAGAGTTTAATCGAGAAGGAGGCCTATATCAATGACCTGGACAGAGGTTGTGGAGATGGTGACTGTGGTTCTACCCTTAAAAGGCTTGCTGCCGGTACATATCATGAACAGCTGAGAAAATTTTTCTTTCTATAAACTATCGTTGAATCTTTCCTTTTATTTATTATTTTCAGATATATTGCAAAATCTCGACAACTTCCAATTATCACATCCGTCGTCGGTTTTTCATGAATTGGCTTACACGGCTGAAGAACAGATGGGTGGCACATCAGGAGCGCTATATTGCTTATTATTTACTAGCATAGCTACAGAATTAATTTTGGATCAAAAGAATGCCCCTTGGACGCATATCTGGGCTCGAGCATTACGCGTGGGTCTGAATTGCCTAATAAAATATGGAAAAGCAAAACCAGGGGATAGATCTATGGTAAGTAGTTTTTTTACCATCTTTAAGTTAACCCAGGTACATGGGACAGCTTGTATACCCAGCACTATCAATTCCAAGTACTCTGATTCATCAGTGATGGGCATCAGGGGAGTAACGTAATCTGGATCAAGTTGGTTGGAACGTGTGCAGTCGGCTTAAGGTGGTATCTCACGTCTTGGACTCGTTTATTTGGGTCGAAACGTATCAAGTTACGGCCCCCAATGCCCTATCCTTGGAAATTCCAACATTCTGACTCGTTCAAATGCAATCAGTTAAATTTGTCTCAGCAGATAGCCACGGGCTGACTGTCCAACATAGCATGACTATAGTGATTCTATAGGGCCCTTGGGTGCATATGGTTCATTTTAGTTTGAAATCCAGCTCGTTTTCATCCCACTGTTGAAATAATATTGATCTCGTTACGCTCTATTAATAGAGCTGGCTTGAGAGACTCTGCTCTTCGATCGGCAGACGCCCTACCTTGCCCGCGGGCAGAGCTACGTGACGTCAGAAGCCATAAAATGGAACGGGGAACAACTATCCTCTCCGCTTCTCACTCTATCAGCACCACGTCGCTTTCACAACTGAAGGGCTTTCCAACTTGTCCACTTACGTTTTAATCAGCTCTTATGTATTGACAGATCATACTTCTTGTTATAATAATCGTTATCAGGGTACTCTAACGTGTTCGATTCAGGATATATCTGAAAATCACTTCTGAGTACCTGAGAAGATATAACGAGGTCGACCTGGTGTATACAATGTTCTGTTTTATAGGGAGATAGGCTCTCCTTGACATTTCATGCAATTATCTTCTCATGTAACTTCTGAACAACTGCTTCTGCAATTAGATTTCACACCTGAATAGTTTTCAATCTGTCGGTACTTATGTTATGACTCTGCTCCTTGATCTTGCCATCTTAAGACTTCATCCGTTTGTAGCATTTCACTGGGAATCCTTTGAAGCTATTGATCGTTTACGTTGGAGAAGTCAGGGCAATCTCTTGGAGTACCATGATATGTACTTTATTACTCAAATAAACCAAGGCAGCAACACGACATGCCACTTTGAGCATCTGACAATGATAATCTCTTCCATCATCTTGATCAATCATGTGTGTTTAATCAATGTTTCAAACAGAGCTCAATTACTCAAACTAAAGTTACTGAAGTTGATTGAGCAGGGCATTGTGCTGTCGTGTCGCTGGCCTGGTTTAAGTTACAATGTATCATGTTACTATGAGAGATTATCCTGATGGACATCCCTGGCCTACGCCCAAAACCATATACAGGGAGATTCATATTAACATTAACAGAGATTTTTTATATGCACTTATCAAAACACTGTATGTACAACGGTTTTACACAGTAATATTAAGATGAATGAAACTTGTATCATTATTTATTCTAATAGGATAAAAATTATACAAACTTTCCATAATATTAATGTTTACTTATTAATAATATACAGGACACTTAGCCTTTATAACTGATTAATGTTTACGTACAGTACATTATTTACAGTTTCTTGATATGTTGCATTTTGTACATTTGTATACTTATTACTTTTGGAATGCGACGATATTTACAACGTTCACGATTAGGAACTAATAAGCTTAATTAAAAGTAACATTGGGTTAATGTGCAAAAAGTAAATGCAACATGAAAATATGAAAAATAAGTAGTCGTATATAAATACTATATACACCTTAAAAATAATGGATACTACAATAGATACAAAATATAAATCCTAAAATATAAATACCATATTTATATATTAGAATAGATATTAAAATTTGGCAGAAAGATTTCTGAACAATTATTGTATCTCTTGCAGTATCTCTAACAAAGTACACCACAAATAATCATTTTTATTTGCAATGTAAACGATAATCGAATGTGACGAATGAATTATTAAACGAAGGTGGCAGCTAGAAGACTTCTAGCACGTTTTATTCTGTTGTAAACAACCGTCTGGATGACGTTTGCAGTCTCTTTTGTTCCATTAAAAAAGTAATATCTGGGACAATCGATTGGCAGGAGCTTAATAATAATGAACATTTTAAATTATAATTAGTTAATCCTGTTCTGTGAATTGATTTCGTTTTTTTCATGTTTAGAAATAATTGTTCGCAGACGTAAGTCGAACCAAACATGCATAATATTTTACCGGCAAGGGTATACAACAATGGAAAACGAATATGCGAGAAACCGGTATAAAAATGCGCCAGAGATTCAGCTTGATTGAATTTGTTTTTCAACATTCGGTCACATTTCATGTCGATCAACTCGAGCTGCATTTCTGGCGGTACTGTGTCTAAGTTAACTGAAAATGGCGTTGCAAATATGTTAAACTCGATATTCAAACTTTGAACATCCTTAAATCTTCCATTAAATTCCTGTTCGAGTAAATCTAAAACAGAACAATATTTTGTGAAACAATTCTGATTTGTTGCTACAGCTTTCAACCTTGGGAAATGACACGAGTTTCCTATTTGTAACTGTCCCATCCATAGCTGTATTTTCATTTGAAATGCTTGAATAGTATCGTATAATTCTACTATGAGCATACCTTTCCTTTGTAAAGACTGATTTAAGGTATTCAGGTGGTGTACTAAATCTGTTAAAAACGCTAAGTCAACCAGCCAGTCGTTATCTTTTAATTCTGCAACAGGATTTTGCATAGACTCCATAAATGCAGCTATCTCGCTTCTAAGATTATAAAATTGTTCTAAAAGCTTCCCACGATTTAGCCATCTGACCTCTGTGTAATAGGGTAAATCTGCGTACTCTGAATCTAATTCTTCAAGAAACGCGCGGAATTGCTTACGTTTCAATCCGTGATTCCTTATGTAATTCGTTACACGTACGATCACAGACATTACATTGGACATTTCAATATTCTTGGTACATAGATTTTGTCTGTGAATTAGGCAGTGCACAGCGACAAGTTTCTTAGCATTACCCAGTTCGTTTAACTTTTTCCTGAGTCGACCAACCAGACCATTAGTGTTATCGGCCATTGCAGGTGTTCCATCGGTTGCTATAGAAACCAGTTTATGCCAGTCCAATTGATTATTCTCTATTATCTCTTCTACGCAAGAGAACATGTCCTCTTCTGATACACCGTCTCTGAGCGGTACCAAGTCTAATAATTCCTCTGTCACGTATAAATTATTGTTCACGCCACGGATGAAGATCGCTATTTGCGGCGTTCCTGATATATCTGTACCCTCGTCGATAGCCAAAGAGTACGCAGTGAAACTTGAACACAATTGGCGTAACTGGTCCATAACGTTACTGGCCATCGATTGTATGCGGCGAGCAATTGTCGTTCTTGATAAACTTATTGCCTCGAAGGCTTGCACTTCTGTCGGATACATCTGACCCGCGGCGTTCACTAAATATTTCTTCACAACGTCACCGTCCGTGTAACTGCGCGACGATCGTGCAATCTCCAGGGCAATCCCGAAGCTCGCCCGCACGGCTGCCTCGCTGCAGGACGATACAGTTTCCTAAAATGGAAAAATCAAAAACATTCATCGAATACGTTCAGAAGAAAGGAGCCGGGTAGTTGGATTAATAGAATTAAAGGAACTCACCTCTTCCACTTCTGCTTTGACGAATTTTTGTTTCAATTGCACCACTTCTGCCTCCCGTTCTTCGCCGCTCAACTGCGCGTAATGCCCGTGCATAGACTGAAAATGTCTTTGGAGATTGTACTTCTTCACTTGATGCAGTTTCTTCCCGCATATCAAACAGGTCGGTACGCCTTCCTGTTCTATGAAGAAGTAGTCCGATTCCCAGGACGGTTTGAAATACGTGGAAACCGAACTTCGTTTTCGATGAAACTCAGCCATTATCGGACCGCTACGTTTTATATAACAGTGGTAGAGTCGCGTGGAACGTACGCTTGCTTTCAGCAAGAGAAAGCGTAGAAGAGGCCTGCACAGCAACTAATAAGACGAGCGAGCGCGCCCTTCCGCTGCCCGTGGGCAGCGCGAGGGGCAGCAGGGGAGAGCAAAAACTCCAGGCAGCCATTTAAGAGTGGGGTTGTGCAGTATCCACTGGTCAGGTTTCGTTTAACCTCTCAGGGTTTAAATGCTGGAGCTGGAGTCAGTGGGTGCAAACCTGGCTGTTCTTGGGAACTTATAACCCCACTGCACTGATGTTCATTCGGGTTGTGCAGATGATGGTTGCCGGTTCCTGCGACGAAAGGGTTCTCTTTTTTTTCCACATGACAGACGTCACGCCTTTAGTGGCGACAAGAGTAAACTGCCCGGAGCCGCGGTTTGCGCACTACTGCCCTGCGCCCCCACCATGCGCCATGGCCCCACTATGATGCTACTGCTCACTGTGGAGGAAGCAACCTGCTGTCACATGGCTGCCCGATGAGGCAACTTGTGTGCAGGTTTCGGATACTACCACCGCAGTGTTTGGTCGCTTTTGTTCCCTGTGCGTGTACCAGAGGTGGGGTAACTTGTATCTTGAATGGTAGGAGGGGGAGTGAGAGATTCCTTCCTTCTTGAATTCACTAGTTTTTCCATCTCGGGAATTCTTCACGTGTCGGTAAAAGGTATTCGGAAGTTATGTAGATCCATTTTCAAAATTTGAAGAGTTTCTGAAAAATAGGAGATTACTAATGAATCTACTTTATTGCAATACCTCTTTGAAGTATGTGTGAATGTAAGATGGTTGCTATGGAGAGTTCCTCTTTGGCGGGAATTTCCATGAATCTTGCAAATTGCATTTTTAAGGAACATTTATGCTGCTTTTATTTGAAATATTTCTAATCAATTATTATTTTTTTAGATCGATGTAATAAATGCTGTCTGTGAAGTATATGAAGGCTCACTGGATAAACCACCGGTTGAACTTTGTAAAATAATAAAAACAACTGCTTGGAAAGCATGTGAATCTACAAAAAATATGAAACCAAGGTGGGTATGACAGCATTTTTATAATTATTACTATTGTAATTTTAAGTATAGGGTACATAGAATTCTAAAATGATATTACTCACTCCATCTAGCAGCAGATAAGCTTACTGCTATAGAGCCATAGGGCTTCTGTTACGGGGGCACCAATTTATTTTCACTCCTATAATATAATACTGTTATGTTACAGGGTAGGACGTGCCAGTTATGTGAAACAAGAACAATACTTACAAAATGTAGATGCTGGTGCATATGGAGTTGCTACTTGGATCCATGCTATCACTGATGTAATTAAGAATGCCAAAATATAATGCTCTCTAATGGAAGTTATCAGAATAATATTTTATATTAGTATCCTATATGGTAGATTTTTATAAAGATGGAAGAGGGCCTATATTAAAAGGAGGGGGCCTTGACCCACCCTTACCTTCTTTTCTAACAATTTTGTCACGAATTTGATATAATATAAAATGTAAATAAAACGCTTATTCTTTACAGATAATACGGTATATTTTTCCAGATTCTACTGGTACCATTACATACAGTTTTCCTATACGTTTCTTCCAGTTACGTGACTCTTATATTTTTTTTAATCAATTTTTTTTCGCCTTATTATACTTTTCGTTAATATAAAACACGTATATAAACATAGATTGAGTATATTGGTGTTTACAATAATGTATGGTTAAAAAAAATGTCGCACACCATTGTCATTTTTTTGGTTTTTCAGTATACGCTTATACGAAGACATCGTTTCCTTTAAAATGAATGACACAATTCTTTTTTTTTTTTTTCTTATTTTGTGCTCTACTACGTGCAAGGTTTCCAGTATTATATACTTTTGTATCTAAACGTATATAAACGATACCTTATTGTAATTAAAAATTAACATAGAAAAATTGTTCTGTGCATAAAAAGATATTGTTGGAACTATGAATCAATAGAAAAATTTGAAATTCAATTTAGCTAAATGGGTAAGAAAATATGTATGTTCTTTTTTTCTTGCAAAAAAATCTATTATCCTAATAAATGGAATAGAATAATTTTTAAAGTGTATTTCTCTTTTGTTTTTGTTCAGAAAGTGTGGGATGTAAATGTCGGCGGCAAAGGTACGTATTGTATATGTTTATCGATAAAATTGAACTGAACGTCTGCACCGGAAGTAAAAATTTGACGCACGATCTTTTATACCTATTATTTGGATCACTAACAGTCAAAGTTGAACACGTTCGCAGTAAGTTTACATATTCTTTAGCAATAACAATACGAATATGATTCAGCTTAACGAATCTTATTATGAAACGAGTAAATTTGATTCGCAGAGTTCGATATTCAAAGAATTGCTGAGAAATCTCGAGAAGTGTATCCAAAATACACAATTTTAATAACAATCATTTCAATTCCTAGGGAGAGTCTGAGGGTGGGCCTCAGGAAGAGTATGAGGTGGGCCTAGGGGAAGCCTAATGAGACTCTGAGGATAAGTTCCTCAGTGAAACCTAAGTAGAATTCAAGAAGAACCCAAAGAAACTAAGGAAAATCCAAGGAAAGCCTAAGAAGAACCTAAGGAGAACCTAGGGAACCCTAGAAAAATCTAAGGAGAGCCTAGGGAACCCTAGAAGAACCTAAGGAGAGCCTAGGGAACCCTAGAAGAACCTAAGGAGAGCCTAGGAAACCCTAGAAAAATCTAAGGAGGTCCTAGGGACAACCTAAGGAAAGTCTGAATATAGCCTAAGTAGAACCTCAGGGAAATCCAAAGATAACCTAAAGAGAATCCATACAGAACCTAAGGAGAACCCAACTAAAAACAATGATGACCATTGTTACTGAAGTTCTTTACAAGAATTTGTAAATTTCTGCAGCTTACAAAAGAAACAGTGATACTCCTCGATATTTATCAGCTCATTATCTTGATACGAAGTTATAATATACGACTCTATTTACAGAGAAAAATTCTAAACGACATTGCTTGATCAGACTTTTCTGTACACAAAATTGTGCGCACCATTTTGCGCAATAATTCCGTTCGGCGTGAATCATGCGTTTGAACGGGCAACAATTGCCTTCATTTACATCAAGAACGGGCATTAGGGCAATCTTTTGAAGTGATATGATACATTGGACCCCAGCAAATCATAATGGTGACATGACATGCCGCTTTAAGCAGAGGCTATAACATAGCTATTAAATAATTCTGCGAAGGTATTTACAATATTTACCTAAGATTATAAACTAATAAATGTAATTAAAAATAATACTGATGGGTGGCAAACATTTAACCTCCTTAATGTTAAGACATCTACTGACATGCCTGCATTATTTCAGGGTAATTTCAAGGGAATGTCACCATATATTAATAAAATTTAAAATTAAAGTGATGTGCACGTAGAAATGGAATATCGACGTGAAAATGGCCATTCTGTTAGTAAGGTAAGAATTTAAGTTGCATATCAGCTGTTTGAAGCAGCATACCATGCCGCCATCTTGATTTCCTTAAGTCGCAATGCATCACGGTAGTTGAGAGATAGTTCTGATGCCCGATCTTGATTTATACAAAGAGAACTTTTCAGCGGTCGCGTGATTAATACTGTACATGTAACTTCATCCTTTGTTGCTTTTATCCAAATATTTTTTTTTTAAATACAAACTTCAAATATCCTCTATATATATTTACAAATGTACACATTGTAATAGTGAAAGATAAATAAGGTGAATGACAAAGGTATACCGAATATCACTGCAGTAAAAAATAGTTACTTTTTGGAAAATGAAAAAAAGAACTAGAATTGATACGTCGTTTGGATCAACGCGACTGCTGCGAAGTTGACAGTATGTTTATTGAATAAATGTGTACTTTCAAAATTGTTTATCAATCGAATTAGCATATCTCTATGCCCACGATTTTTAATTTATAAATTAGTAAGTTATAAATGAAATTATAACTTTTTACAACGACAACTATTTTTTAACAATACACAGTTAATAACAATTTTACCAATATTTGTACTAATTCATGATGAATATGTCCAATGACTTATTTCTTACACTTTCAAAATAATATAAGGAAAAAAGTTACTAATTTTTCATATAACACGTTGAAAAGCGATGAAATGAAGAAACCATCATTATTAAAAATTATTTCAAAAAGAAAGTATGATATATATGCATATAAAATTCATATCACCCTTTCAATGAGTTAGATATTTGTACTTACTTTTATTTATATACATACAAAGATAATAATGATTTCAGGTATATGTTTCAAAGTATTACATTTCCATCAATTGTACTCTTTTCGTATAATAAATTTGATTACACCTAGGAAATTTTTAAGAATTACCCAAAACTTCGATAACTAGATACAGCAATAATTAACTAGATAAAAATTTAAAAAAAGACATTTGAGCTTGGAACTTAATTATCAAATTTTCTTCCTCATGCTAATCGATCGATATAATATATAGTATAAACGTTTGAAAGGACACATTTATTACGTTATACCTCCCTAAACCATCATTAAAGCTTCGTTTGGCACGTGTGATTAGAATGTCACTTAATACGAAAGTGTTAGAATATTAATGAATACAAAAGAATCGATGTAGCGCGTTTCACCCACTGTTGTTGCCATTCTATCGTGACACACTCTATATTTATAACAGCGCTTATCCATTTCTTTTTTTTTTTTTTTTTTCTCAAATCTTTTGGTTCTTCATGACTAAATTACACTTAAAACACTCAGTTACAACTTGGACTACTATTTAAAATGTACATCGAGTGCGTTGTTCCTCGAATAAAACGCACGAGAAATGCCTGTCTTTTTATTAACATTTTCATTTCATTATTTATTTATTTTCCTTAGAATTCGAATCGATTTCGTTTCTTTGTGCGGTGTAGCTTTGTAGGAAGTCTGCGAAACTGAGTCAGTTTATTACACGTTACTTTAACCCTCGGAATGGCGATGGTGGGTCAATTTGACCCAGATTTATGAAACTTGTACAATGGGATAACGAGAAGTATTGGGCACTGAAATTTTCAAAAGAAAAGATTTTTATGTATTGGGAATGTAATGTTTAAAGAAATTGTGTAAAATGAAATTATATGCTGGGTCAAAATGACCCTGTTCCTTTACAAAATTTTCAACGATACTTGCTTCTACAATTTTCATTAATCAATCTAAAATCAAATTTTTCATTTTAATTGCTATAAAATTTTCTGAGACTTAAAAATACTTTTTTTTTTTACTGACACGTGTACGAAAACTGACTTTGTTCCGTGAACTATAAAAAAAAAAAGATGTCGACACCAAGCATTCGTCGCAAGATGGCCGCTAAAATCGAGCCACGAATTTGGTACTGTCGAAGAACGTGCCCGTTCGTTTCTCTCTTCTTCGTGTCTCTCCATTTTTTCTTCTTTTGTACGGTTCAGAAATATATTTATAAAGATTATTTTTCATGGCAGTATTCATGTTGCATTGCCTCAAATATGGAAATCCGAGCTGTCGTAATGGCAAACATTTGTTCCTTTATTTCATTTCCCCTCAAATAATAATATTTCTTCCGTGGTTGTTTCAATATAATCAGTGAAATTTAATTTAAAAATGAAATGGCAGAAGGATGATCTAATGTACAAGGATATACAGCGTGTTTCAAATAATTGGAAAAAGTCGTATTAAATCTTTCTTGATTGCAATTAAAAAGAAATATTTAATAAATCTTGAAAATTAAGATAGATAATAAAAATGAATTAGACAAGAATTATGACTTATTCCAATTGCATGGACCAGCCAGTATTTAAATCCTATTTAAGTATGGAATGAAAAGAAGATGATCATCGACATCGGTGCAAAGATCGTGTAGAAAATGCGTCTTTTTCTTCTAAATTTATCAAATTGAATTGTACACCCTGTTTTTCCCCAATCTAGTTCTAAAATATGAAACGAAACTTTCGACCGACATACGTTTCATTTACTTAAATTGTACATATTTTGATTTGTATATAAACGTTGCATTGCGAGCTATTTTTACTTCGAATATTCATATACATATATGAAAGGAATATGTTTCACGCGATATCTTCTTAACAGTAATTCCGTGAAAGTTGACTTGCAAATCTGTTAAAAGAATTTATCTATTCAAAGAAATTGTCTTTTTCCCAAAGAAAAACGAATACAAAGAAGAAGCTCATGAAAAGGAAGATTAATAAACAAAATTAAAAAGGCGCACTCCCAAATGTTCCCTTCGTAAGGCTGGTCTCACGCAAAGATGGCGTCCATGCGCACACAGTATGCGCGTGAACACTGAATTAACGATGGGTATGTTTTATCACAAATTTCCAAACAATTCAGTTATATTTGAGTTGCGAATTACTTGGACGATTATTAGAACTATATTTCTCCATTTCCTCACTTCGAATAATTATCAAAGTAATTCGAAATTCAAATATAATTGAATTGCAACTTGGAAACTTACAACTCTGTCGCTAACCACAAGTCCGAGTCCGGCGCACATGCGCGTACGCATGCGCAGATGCGTCACTTTGGCGCGCGCCTTAGTTACGCAACCAAACTAACCTCGAGCATTGGTAAAAAATGATTTAGTGAACGTTATTGAAGCAACTCAGTTTCCTTATTGTTGGCAAGCAAGTTTGGTGGAATGTTTATAAAAGGAGAAAAGATAGAACGATAAATAAATAAAAAGGTTTTTTGCTTCGGCGAGCAAACACGTTGCACGCGAAGCATTTCTACTGATATCATCCTCTGTCAACAGCGGTCCTGTTTCTATTATGCCACTTGCACTTGAGAATCCTCACGTAGGTTCTTCGGAATGCCGCGTTGCATAGGGCGTAACACACTGGGTTCACTGTACTATTAATATAACAAAGGTAATAGGAAAAGTCCCATACAGGCTGCGGTATGTACCACGAGCAGGCTGTGAGGGATTTTATTAAAACGAGAATATTGTAGGGCGTCCAAGTGACGATGAACGCCAACAAGATAGCCGACAATGTCTTTGCCGCCTTACGGTCTGCCTTTTTCTCTTGAATTTTCTTCTTCTTTTTATTTGCGCCCTTGTTCGCAGGTACCTTGGTTGCTTTCGGAATGTTCTTCGTGTTTAAGGGGATCCTTATGTCGGGCATGCGTGACGGTCGTCGGATCACAGTCGACGGGCTCGATATCGTGCTGCCCAGACGAAATATCTTCCCGTTCTCCTCTTCCACGTCCTCTATCATACTGCGAAGTTTAAAGGTGACTGCTTCGTCGTGATACATCTTTATGCTTGGGCCCTCCGTGTACTTCCCCATACCGCTGGCGTCCCTTGTGGGCAGCCGGATTAGAATCGTGTAAACCTACGTAGAAATTTGCAACGATTTAGAAAATATAAACTGATGGGGACGCATGAATGGTGGCTGCGTACAGGGGCCTAAGACGGGCCCCGATAGATGTCTCTGCTTTAATGTACGATGGCGCCAGATCTCCGGCCCAGCTGTAGCTTAACCTTTGAAAATCTTGAAAAGTCTGAAGCACGCGAACGTGCTGAGGTAAAAACTTACCGAGTCACTGGAGATGCTTTTCGTCGACAGTTCACCGGCCTGCCCCGATTTCTTGTAGTCATGAATGTCAGCGATGCACACAGATTTCCCAACCGTTAGAGCCGTAGGATGAATCCCGCTTAGGGAGGCGGATCGAGAGACCGTACCAGTTAGAGGTGTCTCGGCTGATAACGGTGTCGTGGCCTCGTCGTAACCGTGACCCGTGCGACTGCTCTCGGCGCCTTCGATGTCGTCGTCGTCGTCATCGTCGTCGCGACCGCTGTGCCACCACGCGATACACCACATCTTGAGCCACATCCACGATAGAGGTCTATACTTCTGAGACAGACAGTGATAGCTGTAGATGGCGCTCATTAAAGGGTAATGCCCCCTTGGAAGTCTTAAAACGAGGACACAGAGCATCTAAAGAGTTAGATTAATGACTTGATACGCTTACTGTTTTATATTGAGGATAATGTTTCTCAAGATAAGAGACAGCCAGTTGCGTGGAATTGATGTCTTCGGCTCCTGTGCTTGATTCGCTCCTAGGCCTCCTACAGTCGTCCATATCCAACGCTTCGTCGCTAATTATAGATAAATATAGTGATATATTTAAACGGTATAAAAATTTGTTTGAACCAGGGGCGGGTATCAGGAGAAATCAGGATGGTGACATGACATGCCTGCATGTCACATGGCACAGTGAGCTGGTACCACGTGATACGCGACTATTTAAGATGGCCGCCGCGCATATCACTCGTATTTAGCCTCTGGGACTTATAAATATAATTAGAGGTTATATAAAATGGCTGACAACCATCATAGATCAAAGTTTGAACATTCAGAGAAGGCATGTCACGTCGTCACCCTAGATTTTTCAGGTTATCAAACAGAAATCTTCGTTTTGCTTATTTGATTAAGGTTGAACAATTAACCTAGAGTTACTCCGTTTACTAGCATCCGGTTTTCCAGCTTGCAAATACGGAAGATCCTTCTGGCGCTTTTCGGTCTCCTTCCATATCCGCCAGTAAAGACTGATCATCACAGTAACAGGCACGTAAAATGCGGCGATTGCGGTAATACATGTGATGAGATGATTTGTCTCGATGAATTGAATGTAGCAGGCGTTGTTGGATACCGTTCTCTTTCCTTCGATATATGGCCAAGCGTAAATCCATGGCGGCCATAAGGCCATTGAAATTGCCCAAGCTAATGCTGTAAAAGAGATTATTTTCTTTCTTTTACCGTTATTTAATATTATTATAAGACGAGTGTTAATAAAATTATTTAACGAAGAATTCAGCTGTGAAAATGGAAATGAAACGGGCAAAGTTACTTCAGCTTACCGATCATAATGCCCGCTTTACGAGTTGTCCTTCTGGCACGGTAAGTGAGAGGCCTCGTCACAGAGAAGTATCTGTCGAAGCTGATTAGAAGAAGATTTAAGACCGACGCGTTGCTGGCTAGATAATCTAATGCCAGCCACGTGTCGCATATAAACGGTCCCAATGGCCAATATCCAAGCACGGTGTACAATGTGAAAAGAGGCATGGAGATTAGACCGACTGCAAAATCAGCACCTGCCAGGCTGAACAAGAAATAATTTGATATCGTTTGTAATTGTTTGTCGATCTTGAACGAGATCATCACCATAATGTTCCCGACAACGGTGGTCAGGCTAAGGAAAACGGCGACGATCACTATCATAACACGTCCCCATATTGCATAGGAGTATGGATCACCGCTGCAATTGAGACCGTTGGTCGCGTTGGTCACGTTGTAACTCTTGTTCACGTAATAATCCGGTTCTTCAGTGACATTCATGTCTGAAAGATTTCGCTATTGCCGAAAAATTCTTTGTGCGTTCTGAATGCGAGTTTTCTCTTATTATTTTTTTTTTTTTTGTCAATAGTAAATAAATTTTTTAATTCCTCGTCTCTTTTTCCTCTACTTTTTTCTATTTTTAAGTACAAATTTGCCCTTTTCTCTAGTTTAGAATATATTCAAAAGTGTACTCCTTATTTTATAAGTTACTTCTCCTCCGTTTTGCAAAATTTGCCCCCTTTTTTTTTTTTTTTTTAATCTTTACTCGTCAAAATTGTCCGTTTTAGATATAAAATTGTCTTATTCTATCGTTTAGAATTCTTTTTTAGTGTTTCTCTGCTCTACTTTGAACACGCCCCTTGTTATTCATTTTTCTCGTCTTCGTGGAAGCAATTTTTCGAAGGTTCTCTCTTGCTTTTAATCTCCTTTTTTTTCCGCTCTTTTCTCTTCTCTCTCCCTCTTCTACCCCCCCTCTCTCTCTCTCTCGTCGATTTCTATCTACCTCGCCGACTTTTGTCTCCCTATCGTGTATACGTATTTAGAAATATTCTTCCTTTTACGTGCTTCACATGTCACGTGTCCAGCCAGAACATTTTTCTTCGAAATCCGATCTCAGTGCAGGCTCTTCCTCTTTCTCTTTGCATGCAAACAGCAAAAATGGATACGCGCGTACGCACACACGTACGCACGTACAAGCAATCACGAATCTCTATTTTTCTCGCCTTTTTCTTTTTTATTTACGATTATTTCCAAGCGTTATGGAACCAGGGGATACGTCAACTACATACCCTCCTCAATGTTCGCGTCGGTGGTGTGCGACCTGCAAAAAAGAACGTTCGCCGTTTCATTTTATTTTCTATGATGGTTTATCGTACACCCAGGGGCAACGTAGACTTCTGGTGGGCGGGAACGAGGGTGGGAGGAGGGATCATATATGGTTAGCCTTTGGCCCTGGGAGAGTCTAGGGAGGGTCTAAGGAGCATTTGGGGAGAGGAAGGGGTAAAGCTTGACTCTGGGGGAGCCTAGGGCGGGGTTATGAGAAGCCTAGGGAGTACCTAGGGAGAGCCTAGGGGGAATTTAGGAAGGACCTAGGGAGTACCTAAGGCAAACCTAGGGAAAATTTAAGAAAAGCCTAAGTCTTAACTTTGGGTGAGCCTAGGGTGGGGCTATGGAGAGCCTAGGGGGAATTTAAGAAGGACCTAAGGCAAACCTAGGGAAAATTTAAGGAAAGCCTAAGTCTTAACTTTGGGGGAGCCTAGGGCGGGGTTATGAGAAGCCTAGGGAGTACCTAGGGAGAGCCTAGGGGGAATTTAGGAAGGACCTAGGGAGTACCTAAGGCAAACCTAGGGAAAATTTAAGAAAAGCCTAAGTCTTAACTTTGGGTGAGCCTAGGGTGGGGCTATGGAGAGCCTAGGGGGAATTTAAGAAGGACCTAAGGCAAACCTAGGGAAAATTTAAGGAAAGCCTAAGTCTTAACTTTGGGTGAGCCTAGGGTGGGGCTATGGAGAGCCTATGGAGTACCTAGGGAGAGCCTAGGGTGAATTTAGGAAGGACCTAGGGAGTACCTAAGGCAAACCTAGGGCAAATTTAAGGAAAGCCTAAGTCTTAACTTTGGGTGAGCCTAGGATGGGGCTATGGAGAGCCTAGGGGGAATTTAAGAAGGACCTAAGGCAAACCTAGGGAAAATTTAAGGAAAGCCTAAGTCTTAACTTTGGGTGAACCTAGGGTGGGGCAATGGAGAGCCTAGGGAGTACCTAGAAAGAGCCTAGGGTGAATTTAGGAAGGACCTAGGGAGTACCTAAGACAAACCTAGGGCAAATTTAAGGAAAGCCTAAGTCTTAACTTTGGGTGAGCCTAGGATGGGGCTATGGAGAGCCTAGGGGGAATTTAAGAAGGACCTAAGGCAAACCTAGGGAAAATTTAAGGAAAGCCTAAGTCTTAACTTTGGGTGAACCTAGGGTGGGGCTATGGAGAGCCTAGGGAGTACCTAGGAAGAGCCTAGGGTGAATTTAGGAAGGACCTAGGGAGTACCTAAGACAAACCTAGGGCAAATTTAAGGAAAGCCTAAGTCTTAACTTAGAGTGAGCCTAGGGTGGGGTTATGATAAGCCTAAGGGGAATCTAGGGAGAATCTAGGGAGAGTCTATGGAGGACCCAAGGGAAGGGGGCTAAGTAGGACCTAAAGAGAACCTAAGGGATGCCTAAAGGAATTTAATTGCTCACAAACTAAATAAAATGATTAAGTTGATTCCATAAATATTGAATTAGAATGAAATGAATGAACTGACTGGCATTTATTATGAGGCAAATAATCCATACCAGTATTCAGACTGCCATTGCCATCATCAATGCAAATATGCCCTGGGATGGGCAAGCAAACGTACTCAGACACACCACAATACCCAGCTGAAGTGATCATTTTGAATGTTTATGGCAATCCTGTAAAAATAACGAGCCATATTCATGATTCTAAATAAAAAGCTCCTATACAGTAAGTACTGTATATTCAGTTTAACATTTTTATCAGATGAAATGAAAGGCTCGACGGTTGCCATACAACAGTAGATTTACATAGTAGTTCTAACTGGTAAAACATGGTTTATTATTAAAGTGGCATCGTTGCACGTCGATAAAGCTTTGCATTAGCTCTCCTTATTCATGCTATAAATAATTTTCCGATATTGTTCCATCCTCGCACGCGTAAGCGCCTATAATACACGCCAACCGATAGTTCTATTCGTACACATTAAAAATATCATCTTAAGAAAGGATCATCCATGGTTAACGGAAAACTGTCGTGTAATAATATCGTTCGTGGCCTCGTTAATATAGCCTCTCGGCATGGATAAATTTTAAAGTGCGACATAACCAGCCTATTAATTATTGCAATTATTTTTTAACGAATAACCATTGAAATTTCCATGTTGCCAAATTTTTCCAATCGCCAAACCAGCAAATTATTTTTATAACCATCCCCAATAGCATTCTAAGTGGAATTTCACCAGAAAAATGAATTTCTATAAATTTTCAGTGATTCGAACGAACAATTAAGCTGGCCTTTGTTATGATGCGAATAAAAGGTATTTCTAGGTTTCCGTTTCCCGCATAATAAAATGCAAAAAAAAGCAGCTCCATAGTGTCCAGGTTTAAAATTTAAACTGATCGTCTGTATTCATTCAAACCGTACCGCATATGAAGTTTCTTAAAAATACGTGGCTGAATAAAAATTATTTCATTGCGAAGAAAGCATTCTTCGTACGAGGAAAAAATTAATGTTTAAACTTGGCCGCATTTGTGTATTTGAGTTGTGAGAATTTCTTCGGGAGTGTCGAAGGAGCCTCCGAAGTTTGCCTTTCGGACCGGAAGTGGCCGTAAACTGCAAGTTGGTGCGAACCAAGAAAAGAAAATTAATCTTCAGATAAGTGGAACGTTTATGTATTCAAATTTGTTTCGCTGAAAACTTTCATTTAACACCGTTTTCCCTTAATTTTTACAATAACAATTTAAGTGAAAATGTTGACGAGTAACTAGGAAAATTTGATGACACAAAAGTACCAAAAAAATGGCATTTATTACGTTTATTCAGAGATTCCAGAATTTCGCATTTCGTGAAATGAATAAAGCAAATAACTTTACAGAGTTTGAAATCAGTATTTCAAGCCCAGGAAAAGTGTACTCGTGTCAACGTATATACGACAGCTGCATGTAAACATACCATTTCATGCAATTCTACAGTTACCTAGATAAATGAAACTCAAATAAAAAACAAATCCGACTGTACTAAACAGAATATAACTTGTTTTATATTGAAAATACTGTTTTTACTTTTGCCTTTTTACTTTTCTTTTTGTTCAAATTGCAACTACATTGTATTTAAAAAAATAACAATTAAATGTATATGTAAAAGATTCAAAAAATATTTTTCAGGTTCTTTAAGATTGATATAGTAAACCAAAAAAGGTTTGACATGATTACCTTTTGTATTTACCGAGAAAAAAAATCCTAAAGATCGTCTACATTTTCAGTAGTATAAGCACGAATAAGTCAGACAAGTAATGGGAGCATAGTACAGTACCGAACATGGTAGACTTCCCTGGGGAAAATGGCGATGTAGGGGAAGCAGAAGCCTAATCACCTCGATTAGATTCTACAGGACAACTAGAAGTTACTTTAAAGCAAGCTGGTGTATTTATTAATTAGTTACTTTAAAGCAAGCTGGTGTATTTATTAATTAGTAAAATTAGTGAGGTTAGGACAAGCGATGGAACCTTCTTCCCTAGGGAATTTTTCCCTTGGGCAGTTCACCATGCTCGGTACTGTACTTCACCATCTGAGAAGTCCCTTTTGCACGCAGGTGTAAGCATATAAAATGATGTAAAACTTACAATAAATTAATGGAAGAAATTTTTACAAAATTCATATTAATGAAACTTACAAAATGGAGTATAATAGATATGAATTACTATTTTTAATTACAGAAAATTAATTATATTTGAACATTATTGTTAATCAATGAAATTAAAATTGTTCTATAAACAAATAAATGAAATGGACACTACAGTATCGTAATTTGAATATAGAAACATAAACGATGTTATTAATAACAACGTAATTAATCATGATTATAGGTTAAAAAGAAAATGAAAACAATGGAAAATAAAATTGTATTACACATTTTTAATATAAAATAATACACAATGTACAATATTATTTGTTACTGTTTTACGTTTATCTAAAATAATGATAACAGTAGAATCAACAGTGGCGCCATCAACAACATTAATGCCAATGAAAATATCAACAAAAATAGTAACCAATAATAATTATTACGTCGTGGTACAATAACAATAATAATTTACCAATTCCATTAAATAATGAAATTCAAATACGTTTCCAATTCTATAGAAGCATTTCAATAAATTATACCATGAATACTAATCACACCATAAACGTTAAACGATCATTAATTACGTTTCTGACGAAACCTTTACCTTCTTCTCATATGTTCACACGTAAACGGTACAGCGACTCGGACAAAATTCATCTGTTCCAAAAAAAACACACCCCATATTTCGTTCTTTTTTCATGTTCATCCTGTTGTTTCTATTACAGCATTCAGCTAATCACCGAACGAAAACCAACAACATAGAAACAACATAAACGTTAAACAACGAATAGGATGTTGAGGGTAGAATTTGAATGGAGAACTGTTAGGCGTGGTAGGAACCCAATAATAGGAGTTGATGGACCAAAAAAAAAAAAAAATACACAAAAAAGAAGAAAAACTAACCTAAATATTTCTGAACACCAACAAAAGAGGATGAAGAAATTTTTATATGGTTTTGAAAAAATGAAGACTCAAAAGGAATGATGAAACAGAAACAAACCTAATATATATCAATCAATAAGGAGGTAAAAAAGATTGTTTATCACTTCACTGACACGAGAAATCGTCGATAAATAAAGTGAAAATTTCAACTGAAATGAATACACGCACCGATGATGCATATTCGTATATTACTCTTTCCTTCACGTGTAATTTAAATCACTGGTATCCAGCATTGGTGTGTCAAGTAACTCTACGGTCTTGATGAAATATTTCCCGTGCATTGATACACAAATTATGAACGTAGCACCAGACGAACCGATTAGGACCACCCTTCGCTCTTATACATACATATATATATATATATATATTTCTTTTATATCATCAACAACATATTTTTGATTCACTGGAACCGAGACCTAAACCCGACGGAGATAGACAACAAAACAAGCAGGCACACAGATTAAGGGAGGACAGACCGCGTGTATGTTATATAATGTACCCGCGTACGTGTGGATGCGTGAGAAAGAGTAAGTGAACGAATAAGTGAGGAACAGAGAAAGAGAGAGATAGAGAGAGATAGATAGAAAGCGTGTGCGAGAGAAAGAGAGTGAGAGAGACTGACAGAGAAGTAAGAGAGAGAGAGAGAGAGATAGAAAGCAGAGAGAGAAAGAGAGAGAGAGGAGCAAAAGTGAGGGAGAGAGAGGAGGACGCAAAGACGACGATGATTGCACGAGGGATGCGTTCGCGACGGAAGTACGAGGCACACTAAGGGCGTGGGCAATCGGAGCAAGGCCTGTGTAGAGTTTTGAGGGGAGGACCACATTGATTTTGATTTTCGAAGCGCGCGCATGAGTGTCCGTGTTCAGCTCTGCCCATTCATACGTATGGGACGTTGGTCCTTAGACTGGTACATACTACTCCCTCGATCGTTCCACGTTGGAACGTCAAATTATTTTCTTTTTTTTTTTTTTCTCACTTTGTTCGATCGACTTTACTGATATGGGGTCATCGGTAACCGGTACCCTCGATGAAATATCATGAAAAAGGGAAACATTGGTCTTTTATTCGGGGAAGTGAATTGTGTTGTATCGGGGGGCTTCTCGAGATATATTATGCGGGGGCGGTAGCCCGATTTCGTAATTGCGTTCGAGCGAAGTTCTGTTGCCAGGGTCGGAATAAGACCCTTAGATGCCCTAAGCATTAACTAATTCTGGTGCCCCCTTACGCTTGTAATTTGAAATATTAAAACAATAATAAACCATAAAATAAAATGTTATTTAGCGAAAATTCGAAATGGCTGTAAATTTAATTAATTTAATAATTTCAATGATAAATTTGCTTATGAAAAATGTTTCTATGATCCCCCCCCAATGCTCTAAGCACGTGCTCACTTTACTTATGGGGTTAATCCAGCACTGCCTATTGCAAGGGGGAGATTCCCCGATTCTATAATAGAATCGTGTTTCCCCCATTTTAGAATCCCCTTATAGGGGGCCCCCCCAATTCTATAATTTTATTATAAAACGACTCCCCAATTCTGAACCTGTTATTTAGGGTGTTCCAAGTTCTAAAATCGTGTTACAAAAAGGATTTCCCAAAACTTCTTATTTCAAGTGTTACCTAGTAGTTCAAGTGTTACATGTCTGACTATGCGCGTCCTCTATCACTACGGCGTAGTGAATACAGTACGCGTATAGTCAGACACATTATCATACTTATATACGATTATTTCAATTTTTAACCCATTGAGCCCGGGACGATTTTTCAGTATTTATTGTGGAGTCCTGGAGACTATAAAATCTGGGGGTAGATCTACATAATTTGTTAATTTAATTTTTCTATTTTATTTTCTTATTACTGGTACAATTAAAATTATTAAAATTAATAATAATTAATAACATTATTTAAAATTATTAAAATTACAAATATTAAACATAGGGGGTGGTTGTTGGTGACTAACTTGGTATGAATTAAAAATACCTACACATTTTTTCTTTTGCTACTAATAATCGTTTAACATTTAATGTTGTATGGAAGAAAAATGTTAAAAAAATATTTCTATAAAAGTTACTGAAGAGTGAGCTCTTATAGTTTATTATTATTCTAACGCAAAAATGTCCAATACGTTTTAATTATAGCTCAAAGATTGATTTTTTTTATCTATGCTTCTAAACTCTTTTTTTTTTAACGAACTCTTTCTCTTTGGTACGATAATAATGTAACACGCTTGTATTATTAAATATGACAAGATAGTCTAAATTTATCAGAAGAAAAATATTTTTGAAGAGAAAATTATAAATGGTGTTTCTTATTACCTTTATTATTATTTGTTCTTTTCTTGGTAATACGTTGTTTACCTGATGCAATCTAATTATACTACGCTGCTGGAAAGCCGCTTTTCCAATGTATTTAACATTTCCATCTTCAGCTCTGAGATAGAATCTTGTTTCGTTGGTTAATTAATTAGTATCGAAGTGGATGCGGTGCTTCGTTACCAAAAAACGACCTCAAGGGTATACATTTCTTCCCTGAAAATTCCATTCAAAATTTAGTGACAAGTTTGCGCAAGGGTAATTGTTTATGAAAGTAAGGTACAAAATAGTATATGCAATATGTGTACATACGAGTTTATAGCGCATGAAAACCGCATAAACTTTCTGAAGCATCTAATAACTTTACCACCTCGTTTGTGCGAGGTACAAATACTGAAATAATTCAGGATATTAGCTATTTATTTATCTACTTCATAAAATAATTTTAATATTTAACAAGTAAAAAATTATAGAGAATTAAGTAAATCCGGATGAGACAGGGATATTATACATTGTCAATATGTTACATGTTTATTTAGATTGTATATAAATATATAAAATAGCACTCAATTCTGAATCAAAATTATATGTATAATAAACAACTCTTCATTACTTCCGTATTTCCGTACTTATACAAATTGTCTCATAACTCCTGTAACACCAGAAATGGGGGGTTGCTGGGGTGATTCTGAACAACTTTTCCCTTTACCAAAATGTTTGCTGAAGTTTCGTTTTTGAGTTATTACTGAAAAACACTGGCCAGTGAGAGCGATGGCTCTGAACCGCGCTCGGTCGTGAACAAACGCATTGGCACAGCGTGGGTATCAAGGGAAAGCCCTTCTTAATTTAAGACGATGTAATATTTATCACACGCTTCCTTCGATACCCACACTGTGCCAATTATTCAAATACTGTAACATTTTTTTCATGATCTATATAAAATTAATTTCTCCCAAGAATTTGATTTTTGGAAGTTTTATTAAAAAATTAATTGATTTTAAAATATAAATAAATTATTTATTTAAGATTTGTTCACAACCACCGAGCGCGGTTGAAAGCCAACGCCCTCGCGATTGAGCGCGCGCTCTCATTGGCCAGTGTTTTTCGTTAATAATTCAAAAACGAAGCTTCAACCAATATTTTGGTAAAGGAAAAGGTTGTTCCAAATCACCCCCCATTTCCGGAGTTATGAGATATCCTATCTAATACATTTTAGTCGCTCTTACAATTAATTAATTAATTTAGTATATTGTCGCTCTTATAATTAATCTATATTAAACTTTTTTGTTTTGGATCTAGTTTAATTTTTTTTTTTATACTAGGAAATCGTTCATGCTTTGAATGGCCTCCAAAACCATCATACGTAATGGCATTAGCTCTTACTTGCTCCTAAAAAAAATGCTTTCTATAAATATATAATACATAAATTATCACGTATCAGCTTGTTATGTACATTCTTACACTTGTAGGTTCAATTCTCGCTTTCTTTGTAAGAATCGATGGATGTAAACTAGTTGTGCTACGTTTTTGAACCGAATGTTTTAAAACAAATACCCCTCCTGATTTGAGCGGAAGATACGGCGAATTTGTCTCATTTTTCTGAAAACAAAGTATTCAACTTTTAGAAGCGACACAGGAAATAAAGCAAATCAATGATATATTAATTATCGTCACTACTGTAACAGTATGTTGGTGTCTATCTTTTGTATCAGTGTCCTCTGCTCTTTCATTCGCTGCATTCTTTATCACAGTTTTAATTTTATTCTGTTCACAACCATCAGATGACTTTAAATTGCTACTTAATGCATCTTCATCAGAATCAAACTTATTTGCCCGTTTTCTTTCCAGCTGTTTCACTTTATTTTGTAAACACATTTTTTCGTTTTCACAAAGCATTAAATCCTCTTCTAATTTTCTGTAAACAATGTAATAATAATGATGTTCCATTAGCCGGTCGGAGCTCTTTTATTTTATCTCATAACGCACATACTTTCTTTTAACGCGTTCTTCAGATAACAAATTCCGTTCGGTTATTACTCTAGCAAGTTCTTGTTGAAGGCTTCTTAATTTATTTCTTAACTCCTTTCGTTTGTTTAAACTCACTGTCATTTCTCTAAAATTAATGTAAGACTTAATAAACTATACACAGTATGAGCAACAGTGTTTAATTACCTTTTCATGACACAAATATATGTAATAAGAGCAGCGGGCTCACATGTTTTTGAGATTACCTCATCTACATGTTCAGTGGAGGCTTCCATTAAGATTTGTATGCTTAAAAAAAGAAACATACATATGGACTAATTAAATATAGAATTTCTATGTTTAACGCATTATATATATTTTTACATACTTTTTGTAAGTTTCAATTTCTTTTCGTAGCTGTTCAATTTCCTGCCTTTTGCTTTCCATTTCTGAATTTTGTTGTTTGAAATATTTTATCTGATCTTTCAAAGCATCAATTACACTTTTTATTGTTTTTAATTCAGCCTCCAATTTGTGTACTTCTTTTTTCAACTCTACATTTTGTTTCCCTAATTTCTCACTTTTCTCTGTATAATGTTTAACATCTTGCTCTTTCAATAGAAGCTGGAAATTTAATTTGTCAGTTTTATCCTGTAAAGTGCCTATATTTTCACTGGTCGTATCAATATTAGAAAAATTGAAATATAGCCTGTGAATCGTATGCGATGTTGTCTTTTCTCTACATTGTGGACAGGATCTGGATCTGTGTGAGAAAGAAGAACATTAGTAAATTAAGCATATTCAATTTCTTGCATGTTTACAAATATTACCTTTCTAACCACTGAGTTAAACAAACAAAATGAAAAATATGTCTACAAGGTGTATGGAACACATCATCAGAAGGCATTAATGATTCACTACATATAGCGCAAATGATATTCATATTGTATTTACAAAAAAGCAATAATCTATAATGAAATTATAACAAAGTTTTTATTAACATTCAACTGCATATGTGATTTCAAATTAATCAGGTAACATGTACATATATAGAACAGTAACTATATATCAAGTAAGACTGGACATGTCCTTTGTTACGCAGAGGTGATGGTTGAAAGGGTCCCGGAGACCCCAATATAAGGTTTGTGTTACCAACGAGAGACTTCTACTAATACCGACGGCGCTACTGCTTATGTACTTACTCGATAACTTACCGACACTTATCGACCAATCCTCCGACAGTCGGTAAGTTATTGAGTAGTTTCCACCAGTTTTGGATAGATGGCAATAGGATCGAATTTTAAAAATATTTAATTTATGGCGGCTTTTTTAAATTACAAGTATGCCAAACAATTATTCTCAGTTATCTGTTAAATGGAAGTGTGAGGTGTGATCAAAGAGGGACTGGTATAATAGACACGACTGTCATATTAACTGTACTCTGTATGTATATATACTTGATGTCACGAGAGTCCATAACTGCGAAAAGACCAATTTTCGTTCTTTTCTGCGCATTGTCGCTCTGATTGGCGATACTTCCAGCGAAAGTGGAAAGCGATTGGCGGATCGCTTTCCCCCACCATTGCTGCGTTCCCCTACCATCTTTCAACCTGCGCGTTATGGACTCTCGTGACATCAAGTATACATACAGACTTAATTTTATCTTGGGGTCCCTGGTACCCTTCAAATCATGATCCTTGGCTAACAAAGATATGTCCAATCTTCTTGTATCTGTAGTCACTGCCGCAAGTTCCTGAAATTTCTAGAAGAATTTTACATCCCCTCCACGTTCAATTTGTTTCCTTAGTAATTTCGAGTTTAGTAAGGAAGGTTACGACTTCACGTTATTTATTTAGTCGTAAGAATTTTGACGTTCAACGTGTTTGCAATTTTCTAAAAATAGTTATTTTTCTTTTTTTTTTTATTGTAAAAAAGATATGTTGAGCGTTTGAATAGGTTTTGTATTAATAATCGAATTGAATTGTATATAATTGAATAGAAGGTGACTGGTATACTTGTCTATCTAGTCGAGGAAATTTTTGAAAATCTCGGTGAGTAAAATATAAGTAACATTACGTAAAAAGAAGTGTTACATAAAACATTTTTTACGTATCGAAGCCGCTTATTTTGTGTACATGGTTTACAGGTTATGGTTCGTACACATTTTTCCTTTGATTCAAAGTGATTTTCATAAAGTTGAACATCAGTTGCTTTTTTAAATTCATTGTTCCTCGATTAATTGCAATTTTTCATTCATTCGTGCTATTTAATATTATCTATTTTTGCTGTTTCATAGTTTCGTGACAACGCAGAAACCGAATCGTGTTCCATTTATAAAATTTGAAATCGATTAACTACGTTTGTTCATTTCGAATTTATTTCTTTCAATTTTACACTAAACGTATTAATTTTTATTTGTATTCGTAAAATCATTGTATTTAAATAGGGAATTAAGTCACGTTTTTGTTATTATTAAATTTTAAATTACTTATATCAATGTTCCTATCTTCTGTTCTCTTAGTAATAAATGGAAGCTCTATTAAAATTGTTTTAATCCTTCAATTAACCATATTAATTTTTCATATTTTGTTATAATTATTCTGCTATGAGTAACTGAATTTGATATTGTATGTTTTAGGAATAATTATTTATTTTAGTTGACTTATTTGGACAGTATTATACTGTGAGATCTTAATTTTTGGACCATGGCTAAGTGGGGTGAAGGAGATCCTCGCTGGATCGTTGAAGAAAGACCTGATGCTACTAATGTTAATAACTGGCACTGGTATGATATAATGTGCATGTAATAATTTTAGTTTATTTAGTTTTAACTTAGCAGTGCTGAATAAGTTTTCTAGTTAAATAAGTTAGATTATTAATAAAATAATGTATTAAATGATAGGTCTGATTTAATACACAAATCAATTTTAAGTAATATTATTATATTATATCTGTCTTTCATTGCATTATATGTAATTCTTTTGTTATTTTCATTTATAATATTGATGAAGTTATAATGATTAATAGTTTTTCATTCATGTAAATAAATAAATGAACAATAAAACCGTATTAAGGATTATATTATTAGTGTTGTATATCATTTTATATAAAGCACATCTCTTGAAATTTATGTACTTTTAAGAGAATGTAATATCTGTAATGTACTGAAATCGGTTCAAAATATTTTTGTTGAAGTTATTAAAAGGACAGTAAATACGGATAAAACTGTGTATTTATTTCTAACTGATTTAGTATCCATTCACAATAATTAATAGAAAACTAGAGATTTGATTATAATTATTTTCTCAGATTGAACACCTATTTTTAAACTTTTTAAAAAGTGTGGATTTTTGTAAATGAGCTTAAAGTATCTTTATTAATTAAAAAAAAAGGAATTTTATTCATGAAACAGAATTTTAGAAAGGATTATGTTTTAAAGAATAATGCTAATTTTTAGGAGACAAGGAATGAAACATTAGAAATTTTCAATTCATGATTTTAATTTATAATTTATGAAATTAAGTATTTTAGTTATTGAACTAAATAATGTTGTACCCTTCAAGTACTTAAATTAATTTTTCTTCTTTTCAGGACGGAAAAAAATGCCTGTGCTTGGTCCCAGGAAAAGCTGAAGGAACTATTTACCAATATGAAAATCGAAGGAGATGGAGGTCGATACTTTTAACTTATTTGCAATAATAGCTTAACAAGTACAATTTTCACGTGTACTTAATAATATAATTAAAATGTTTCAATATAATTATAAGCGTATAAAATTATCTTTTTCAGTCTCCTGTACAGTAACGGAAACAGAAAAATGCGAAGGTGAGGCGACGGCAAATAATCGTAAGGGTAAATTAATTTTCTTCTATGAATGGAATATCGTTTTGAAATGGGTATCCGAAGGAAAATCTAATAAGATGATCGAGGGTAAAATAAACATTCCAAATTTATCAGAGGAAAATGACATTTCTGAAGTAGATGTAAGTAATAAATACTTCATTCTTGTATAATATTCTATTTCAGATTTATCAGTATTTAGTAGCATTATTCAGTAACTATATTTCTAATTGTTTGCAGATTGAAGTTACTCTAAAAGATAGTACAGATGAAGGGGAGGCGGTAAAACATTTTTTACATACGAAAGGTAAAGAAGCAATTAGAGAAAAATTGAAACAATATGTTTCTTCTTTGAAAGAAGGTAAGTTTTTCTTAAGTTTAAATGTATAATACTATTTGATGTATTTCATTCATCTTTGTAGTACTTTTATTTATATTAATTTAATTTTTATTGCATTAGAATTCACTGTGGGGATGATCTTGCCTAAAAAAGACAATGTGAAAGAAAATATCTCTTCTATTACTTCAGGATTCAATGCAAAGGTAAGTATACATTCAGTTTGGTAAAATTAGATAAATTGTTGTAAGTTAATCTGCTAATTTATAATTAATTATTGCAGATGCAAATGAATTCTACCGCGGTATCAACAAATAAAAAGGAAGTAGGATGTAAAATCTCAACAACAACAATTAAACAACAGCAAAAGTTTCAGTGTAGAGCTGAAGAATTTTACAACGTTTTTACAACAACTGAGGTAAGAGTTCTAAGAATATCGGAATTGGAACATTTATTTAACTGTTTCTAACCTAACAATATTATTCTTACAGATGGTTCAAGCATTTACTAAAGGACCTGTAAAACTAGATTTGAAAAAGGCCGGGAAATTTGAATTGTTCGGCGGTAATATACACGGTGACTTTGTAGAAATCACGCCTACGAAAATTGTACAAAAATGGCGTTGCAAACAATGGCCTGACGGCCATTTTAGCGATGTAACTATTGATATTTCTGAGAAGAACGATCATACGGAAGTTAATTTAACGCAAATAGGTGTACCAGTTAGGTAAGTTATGCTAAACACAATTGCATACAATATAATACATATGTATGTTTATTTTACAGCGAGGAAGAATCGACGAAAGAGAACTGGGAGAGGTATTACTGGGATGCCATAAAACGTACATTTGGGTTCGGTTACTTCATGTGATCTACGTATGCTTTAAAATTTGCACGATTATTGATAAGTAGAAAAATAATAAAAATGTGTATTGTCGTAAGTTGCCTCGCATACATTCAACATACTAGCCGCAATTATAATCAGCCACGGACGAACTCTTTTCTCATTCGACGGTGTTCATTATAATTTTTCTTATTTTTCTCCCCCTCTGCCTTTTCTATTTAATACATTGCATCGTGTAAGCGGGATATTATGTCCAAGTATCATCAACATGACACATCTGTATTAATAGTTGTATATGTCAAATAAATCAGGTCAGATACATACTGTCTTAATTAATTACCTATCAATGAATAGTAGTATAAGTAAACATGAAACACGTCCAGAATGAAATTAGGCATTTCTGAATAAACAAAAGTATGAGAATGTTGATAGTAACGTTATTTAATTAAAAGAACATTTTATATATTTTATTTTTGTGGATAATGGAGAACTTCAGAAATTCTTGATCATATCAAAGAGGACAATAAAAACATTGAAATATAGAATTGTGTTCCGTGTTTGATTAATTATTTATCAATTATAAAAATGTCTAATACACTCGGAGGAACGGAAAATCAGGTAAGAAATATCAAGGGTAGTAAGTTACATCATTTTGAATACCTAAAAAAGTCATCTTTGTATTTTCCTTTATCAACAAAATGGCGCCACTACAGCCACCTCACAGTGGTTGTTTCTGAACACGGTTTAACCTCGAATAAAAAGCCAAAAATGATTTACTAAGGAAATATACAGGGATTAAATCTTTTTATGTTTTATTAAAAATATTTTCAGTTGAGCACCTCCATTATCCTAATACAGGAAGGGGTTGAGGTCAGCAGTGTCCGAGACTCGAATGACGCGGTACCATCCGCAGTACACGATAATGTCCACATCACTCCTAGTTATATTGAATTTAAGGAAGCTAGCGAGGGGATAACATGTCGACAGCTTATTACTATCAAGAATACAGGACTAAAACCAGCCTTTGTTAAACTTCGACAACCCTATTCAATTGTAAGTTAATGGCATTGCCACATTGCTATAAACCAACTTTATTGGGTTACCTATTTTTCAGGCATTCCAAGTGAAAATACTAAAGAACGGAGTGATGCTTAATCCAGGATTAAGCGTATCCACAACTGTGATATATTCTTTCAAGAGACCATCATTCTTGCGTGCAATGATTCCTATTGAGATCAATGGGAAAAGTCTTGATTACAGAGTTGTATGTAAATTATTGGAAGAAGGTATCAGTGTTGAACCAAAAACAATTGATTTTGGGATTCTTGATATTGGCTACTCCTCTGGTATCAAAGTATTAACTATGAGGAATGATGGCGGTAAAAGTACTAGGTACAATACATCCTTAATCATCCAACATGCATATAATCCAATGTAAATCATAATGTAATATCAATAGGTTTTCAATTGATCTTGGTAAAAATGATTTGGAAATTGCGGTGAAGCCATTGCGTGGCGTCGTTACACCTAATAGACCGGTTCAACTCACGGTCGAGTTAATTGGTATGCAGGAAGGCGTCTTTTACAGCGAATTTTGGTAAATTTTTATTAATGGCGACGCTATAGCTGAGTCGCTATAGCATTTTTGTTAAGAAAATTAATAATCGTTTATATTTTTCCTATTTTCAGGATAAAATCATCACCAAACATACGTATTCCTCTGAAGGTTAACGTAATTGCCCCAAAGCTTGTAGTTTATCATCCCAATACAACCGGAGATTTCACTCTCATTGATTTCTCAATAGCCGTGGCAAATACTCGAAAATACGATTCCTTCGTGCTAAGAAATGTTTCTTCTCAAGTAGCCAGCTACGTGGTACTTGGAGAAATAGAAAATGAAGTGAAATGCATTCGAGTAACGTGTTCGATTCTATTACTTATCGTATAATGAAACTGTACAAACAGATGCTTGGTATCCCTTATAGGACATTGACCGTGAAAAGTATCCTGTTTATAATGCTTTTGAAATCCGACCGATTCAGGGTCGTATGGATCCCATGGAGGGGATCATTTTTGAAGTTGGGTAAGCTGGAATCATTTTCCCTAATGCTTCATTAATTTATTACATTATTAATGAACCTTTTAAATGTTAGATTTACACCGACGACCAAGTTGTTACGATGGCGGCAGAAAGTTAAAGAGAAAACTGACAGACCAGAAAATGACTTCATGGCTTTTCTCAGAATCGTGAGGGTACACGTTACCGAGACCAAGAATATCCCGAGTATATTGAATTTTCTATAGATGCTTGGTATATTTTAACGAAAAATCAAATGAATTGTGTAATCAACAAATTTAGGAAGCGATGCGATGCGAGAAGCACTTGTTAATGAAAGTGGAACGCCATCATCTCATGACGTTAATGGTTAGCTTTAATGATATTTAATATTATAAGCTTCTTTTTGTTATGGAGAAAATAGAAAGGGAAGGTTTTTGCCTTTGGTTTTGAGAAAATCCATGGAGAACCTGAGGAAAGCTTAATAAATAATATTAAATGATTTATATATTATTAAATATTTATTAATTTAATTTAATTTAATTAATAAATATTTAATAACTTAGCATTTGGTGGGATATTTCTTCCCTTATGTTTCCTTTTAATTAAGAGAAGCTTAACTATAAGGCTAGCACCCCTAATTTATTCAATAGCATAAAATATAATTTCGTTAACAGCTGGTTTGACAGTTATGAACATCTCTACATCCTCTTCGTCTTCTTCGACGATTATGGAACGGGGTGTACACGACACAATAAGACTCTGCCTTCACGGTGAAGTCGAAGAGGCATGCTTGAAATTCGAACCGGACATAGTTTATTTCGGGGAGATTAGTGTCGATGAAATTTCTCAACGGGTTGTTCGGATATTGAATCCCTTGAAATTTGCACCGATTCTTTATCGTTTTGTACCTAATACAGCGGTTCGTTGTTATCCTAAACGAATGGAGATAAAAGCAGAAGGATCCATAGAAGTACTTTTGAAAATGCGAGGCAAAGAAAATGGTACACAGTAATCATTACAATTCCTTTCATTTTTTAAGAGTGAAAGCAATCCTTCATAATTTCTTTTTTTTTTTTTCAGTTTTCTCACCGTTCAAGATATACTTTGATGCTATAGTAGATTCCTATGAATCAACAAAGACCAGAAATAAAATAAAATTAAAAGTGGGAACTTATCCTGTACAGTGTGTCGTAAGCATAATATTGTTAACAAAAAATCTGCAAGGTGTGGAATATACAGAAAATTTGAAAATATGCGTTAACATAGTTACATTATCATCGTTTCATTATAGAACCACATGATCACTCAAGGGGTATTAGAAAACCACTGTTACCGCAGTTTCTGGTAAGCAATATTAATGCTTATTTAATTTTCCATCTGTCATATTTATTTCATTTTCAGGATACAATGAAAAGCCAAGTCCCAGAAGAGCCGGACAGAGAAATATTAGATAGACTCCTTCGTTTACCTAAATGGAAATACGAGGATATGTTTAAAACAGTGAAATGCAATTCTGGTTTAGATAAAAAGGAGGTATTACCGTCTAGTATTAATACAGAAGTATTAATACCTTTGTCCCCTTTGCAAATATATAATGTACGCGTGTATCCTTCGATATTCACTTTTGGAATGGTAAGTTCCTTATAGTAAATGTAAGATTATTAGTCAGTAGGTGATGGCACACGTGACAAATACACATTAAATTATTTCTATACACATTAAATTACAGGTCGTCCTAAAGAGTCACAGTTATCGACAACTGATTGTTGAGAACATGAATGATTTTCCAGTTATGATCCGTCTAACTAGCTTATCCAGATGTATTTTCTTCCCGGATGGAAATGTAATAATTTTACCAGCTGGCGCGCTGGTCACTCGCCTGGTCGAATTTCGCGCGCATCATATTGGTAAATTCAACGGTTACATTGATTATATTATCAACGACAATCACTCGTTCGAACTTGGAGTAATCGCAGACATTGTTCGTAAACAATTGTCGCTTGAAACGCGGGAGGCGACGCTGGGTACAGAATGGTTGAAAGAAGAAGTTTACCGACCGTTGGACATTACTCTTCAGATTAGAAATAAATTGAATGCAAAAACATACTTCAGGTAATTGTTATGAAACGTAACGTAATTAAAACTCTCGGCTAAACTTCCGAAAACTTCCATGTTCTGAATTGGCTCAAATTTTGGGAATAGATTCTTTTTTGGTAAAAATGATGATTGCGAGAAGGATTTTTGGCGACTCGAGAAAAAATTTATTATCACATGAATGTCACTCTCTATTTTACCGACATAGTATCTGCATCTGCAAAATATACATAATTAATATCATAACAATTGAAAATAGCAGATTTTACAGCATCAGAACCGCCATCAAATCTGCCTCAAGTATTTCTGCGGTTATAATTGCGTCGGTAAAGTAGGGAATGACACCCAAATGATAAAAAATTTTTTCTCGAGTTGCCAAAAATCCTTCTTGGAACCGCCATTTATATTAAAAAGAAACCTATTCCCAAAATTTCAGCCAATTTGAAGCATGGAGGTTTTCGAAAGTACAGCCACTGTCCCTATACCGTTTGTTTGTTTAGATGGGAGGTGCCCGCAACGTGTGGGTTTTTCATCGAACCAGTGTCAGGCGCTATTCGCGGGAATTCTTCTTTATTCTGCTACGCGTATTACAAACCTCACGCGATAAGATCTCACAACACAGAGATGACACTGAAGTGCGAGGGTGGCACTTTTCTTACAGTACGACTGAATGTTCCAATTCAGCTGCCAAAAGTCAGCTTCATCGAGGATACCATAAATGTCGGTAAAATACCACTTAATTTACCGACCGAAACAATCGCATTGTTGAGTAACGTTGACTATGTCGAAGCTGCGTATGAGGTTGATGTATCATCTTTGATGTACGGATGCAGCGTGTATCCTCTTACTGGTATAATAATGCCTCGTGGAATGGTTGGTCTTGAAGTAGGTGTACCAATCTATAGGGTGTCCCAGAAAGAGCGTTAGTCCTTTAAGGGGGTGGTAGCTGGGGTGATTCTGAACATTTTCGCAAAGGAAAATGTTCAGAATCACTCCAGCTACCACCCCCTTAAAGGACTAACGCTCTTTCTGGGACACCATGTATAATTAAACTCACAGGTGATTTTTATTTTTACTTTATATTTGTTACAGATTACCCTTACATTCTGCACTTGTTTCGATTTCGTCATCGTGATTCGTGTAACGATACAAGGATGTTTACACCTGCAATTAAAAATCATGGGAAACGTAACTTTTCCACAATTAAAGTTATACCCTCAGTCGATAAGTCTGCGACGAATAAGCGCAGCTGCTTACCAGCATTTTTTAATAACAGCCACAAACGTTGGAACCACTATGTTGAAGTTGAACTTCCTTTTGCAAGATTATCCAGAATTTCGGATTTCCCTTTCACCTGACAGAACAGATCCTGGTTTAGGTATACAATATTCTATATTCAATATTCCAATGAAATTGCATTTGGCTAGTTGAGGATTCATACACAGGAATGGGCAATGTCTTCATCATGGCTGGTACCAGTCGTAGCCTTCATCTCCATTTCGAACCGATCGATCTGGCTAGCTACGCCTTCTATCTTCCAATCGTCATTAACGACATACTTGGTCCAGCGTTGGAAACAGATCCAAGGACCCTTAAACCCTTGGAATACCTGAAACCGTTTAAAAAATATTACGTTAATTTAACGAAGGATGATCAACAGGACATACCGTTGAAACTTGTTACAATATCTATTGACTGCACGGTTGCTGGACACGTGGTCCATTTTAGCAAGTTAGAGTTTCGTTTTAATATATCAACAAACGAGGTAAAAATTATTATTTATAGAGAATGTCGAATAAAAATTGTGTGGTATGATATTAAAATTCTACTTTAATTTTCAATGAAAGGTCGAAGAATTCTGTATAGAGAATCGTAGAGAGGCTAAAGAGAAATCTATTCGAATAGAAACGAATAATTTCTCGGTACCCGATTGTCCATTTTCTATTCAATGGTCCGATGGTAAAGAAGCGACGATAACAACGGATTCCATCGAATGCACTTTAAAGCAAGGAGAGAAATGCGTTTTCCTAATAGCGTTTCACCCGAAATCGTCGGGAAACTTTAATCTCGAAGCGCCGATCTTTGTGAATAACGAATTAGATGGGGAAATGTTTAATAAATTGTCTCTGAACGGTGAATACCCTGTGAGATCCATCGGTGCTTCGATTTCAGAAATTTATTTCACCCCTGTACCACTAGATGTAGCCATTGAAAGAGGTTTGAGATTGATTGTAACTAACTTTGAAAATGAATCGACCATCTTTGCTAAAGTATCCACTCCTGATTGTTGCACTGGGATATTTAAACAAGAAATGTTGTCCATAAATTTTATCAATGGAAATAGCATACCAGCTTCTGAGTAAGCAACTCATAAAATAATCTTCTTTTACTATTTAATAATTAAGTAATTTTAATTTTTTTTTTTCAAGGTACACACAGTTGGAAGTGAAAATTGTCTTCAAAAGTGATACATCCGTCTCTTTTCGCCTGATTATTGAATTTTCTGATGACAGTGGTTTGGCTGTCTGTCCTGTGATGATTTATGCAACCGCTGATAATTGTTTATTAACAACGCATGTATATCTAAGGACACCTAAAAGTGACTTCGAGTGGTTCGCCGATCAGGATAAACGAATATCTCACATTTCTAAACTATCTGATACTATGACTGATGATGAAGAGTACGAGAATGATGGGCAGGCCTCGTATTCTGCTAGACACGTGAGATATTTGAATAAATGTAGAAAAATCTGGCAATGAATTACCTTAAAAAATTTCATTATTTCAGAGACAAACTTCAGGACCAAGAATAAGTATTCTTTCTTATATTGAACAATACAGCGAAGGTTCTGTGAAGAAATTGTTGGAATCCAGATTCAAACTATCACTAAATAAATCAGTGTTTATGGAAATGAACGAGCAGGACGCTTACTATAAATCCGAAGAGGACCCAAAGAAATTTCATTTGGAATCGAGGCGTTCCTCGAAAATTTCATCGTTTTATTATAAAAAATATTTTGAACAACTGGAGTATCCTTTCTTTCCTTCCAACAATGAAAGGGAGTAAGTTTCCTTTAGATTTATGTTTCTATTGTTGCAAATTAAATATTCTGAATTAGTGATTTTTTATTACAGTGATTATGAGTTGCATATGCAGCAAACACTGGTCGCAGCAGAAGAATGGTTATACACCGGACCGTTTAAATTCAATTTTTATCCCGAAGTTCCAAATGGCATTACAGTGTCAATGTCGAAATTCTATCCAAAGAAGCAAGCACAGTTAAAAAGCAAAAGTCAGAAACGTCGCAGCTTTGAATGGTCTTTCTTGAACGTGCTTGAATTGTTATCAGATCAAACGCTTTACAACTATATTGAGAAACCGTTAGTATTATAATAATTAATAATTATATAATAATTTAATTATTAACTATTATTATCATTAAATTATTATTAAATTAATAAGTATTGGGTTAATTGAAAAATTAATTTGATAACTGTATTTATATCTCCTACAGCAAAACTCTACCAGACGACGAGGTAGAAAGAGCCCATTTTTTGTTTCATCATTTTGAAAGTATCCTAAATTATTTATTATTAAGCGGAGCTCACGTGTGCCACGTTTCGGCACAGTTCTTGTTGAGTTACGACGACTACGTAATTGTTACAGAAAATATAAAAAGTATGGTAAGTACAATCTGTATACAAACGTAATGTAGTTCCCTGAGTGATAAATTTCAGAAGAAAGTGCGAAGATCATCGATAACGATATGGACGGGGACGGAGAAGCTGTCGCCACGGTTATTCGAATCGAGAAGCAAACAGTGCTGGCTAGATGTAATATTACAAACGTATAAATGTTTTGTGCTTACATCCATATCACAGATCAAAGTTAGGAAAGAATCTTTCTCGGTCTCTACGCCACCTTCCAGACGATCTACCGTTCATCGGGCATCTGTAATTACATCGTCGCTATTAAAGTATATTTTGATCTTTTCCTTATACAGGGTGATCGACAATAAGTGGGAGATTTTTAAGGGGTGATTCTAGGGATCAAAATAAGACGAAAATCAAGAATAACAAAATAGCGTTTGCGGCTTTATTTGTTTAAAAATTCGAATAAAATGCGCCTGAAACATGCAACCCGGCCAGCACCGACGACTGCACGTCAGGTCGGCAGGGGTCGGTACAGTCATAACCAAGAATCATTGAATAGTAGAAACTTACCTCGTGCTATTCTGTTCTTGGTATTGTAGCATTCGGCTTTCTTTTCTTGGTTATGACGGTACCTGCCCCTGCTGACCTGACGTTCAGTCGTCGGTGCTGGGCGGGTTGCAGGTTTCAGGCGCATTTTACTCGAATTTTGAAACGTTAACCCGTGGACTGCCGCAGTGAAAATGGGCATTATTAACGCTCTAATTATTAAGCATAGGGATGATTAATTTTCAAATTTCAGATGTCAAGCTTTTAATTTGGTACCTTATTAATATAATAACAATACTATTGAAAATAATATTTTTCTATCGTTTTCTTTTAATTATTGGAGGCATATAATTTGCGATGCCGGTCACCGGTGACCCCCATGGCATTCAACGTGTTAATTACTGGAAAACAAAACCGCAAACGCTATTTCGTCTTATTTTGATCCCCAGAATCACCCCTTAAAAAATTTCTCCCACCTGTTGTCGAACACACTGTATAAATAATAGCTGAAATATTCTGATAAATGTTCATCTCGGATTTACAGTTTACCCAAACAATGTGAAATTCACGATAGGAACATTCGTGACATGGTCGATTTATCTGGTGATCGTAAATCACGTACCAATTGTTACTCTTGTCAAGAGATATTTTTAATGGCGTGGCTGGAGTATCATTACGAACAGGAGCGTACTAAAGAATGGATGACGGATCGTCGACTAATATTGAATCCAAACGAGAGCAAAGACGTGGCTGAGGCACGTTCTATTAGAAATTTCGATGCTGATTTAGCTGATTCTTTAGTATTAGCAGCTGTCACAGCTGCTCACTGTCCTTTTCTCATTGAAGAATGCTTTAACAGTATTTATTTCTATCCACAAAATTTCGAAGAAGTAAGTATCATTTGTTATATTCCTTCTGATCCCTATTTTCCATAATTATATTTATTCATCTCTTTTTAAAGATACTGCACAATGCCGTATGCGTAGTAAACGCCTGGAGAAAAATACGACTTGGCTTCGTGATATCACCGTTGGAGATCGTGTACCCTAATTGCATAAAAATGTTGTTGCTTGTTATATATTTGTACAAGACATTGCCAACGTATATTCCAAAAACAAAGATCAAGTTCAGTTGCGCTTTGTGTGAAGTCGCCACGAAGCAGATCAATTTTTCAAATCCAACCGCAGATAACGTTGGTTTCCTGATACTTTTATTTGGTAATAGCAATGGATTCTTCATGACGGAAACCCCGAAACCAATTATACGGTTAGGCGCGCACGAGAGCGCCGTGGTGAAGCTAAAATTTCATGCTAAAAAGATAAAGAAGACAAAAGGTATTATAAAATGCATATTCAAGGACAGTCTGGTTTATCTGTTTTGTATACTACAGCTCACCTGCTCTTCTGTGGATCAACAATTGGTCCTCATTTTGGTAGAAATCAAGTATTCGTTTTAGAAGGTCAAGCTGATACTTTGGGAATAGCTAATGAGTACATGATAAACAGCAAATTGTACGAGGTGATTGATAAAATATTAAGTATCAATGTACCCTATAAAGATCCAGCTGATTATGAGATATGGATGTCAGACGAACGACCAAGCAAACCCAGTTAGTATAATTATTAAAACTAAAACTTTCAAATCATTTTTTATGGGAACATACTTTATAGGTGCTTTGAAGTTAACACGATGGGCTGATCTGCGTTCGAGAAAGATACCTAGAAGACTGTTTTTAAATCAAACATTCATTACAGTCAAAGAAGGTTCTAATCACGGCAGTTTATCGTTAACACTGGCATGCATCATGCCCATTGATAGAGATTTTTGGATTGTATTTCAATCAAAAATGGGTGATTTTATAATCCAGGTGCAGTTGCAATATTAAACTACAATACATTGCCCTGATCAGTATTAATGACTGTTTATTTTTTTTCTTATGATAGATCAGTTCACGCTGCAAGCCATCGATAATCGACAATCTTATAATTACATTAGGCCTACAAGAAGATCAGTGTACCTGTACGGACACGTATACCGATTTCAGTAAATCTTGTCCTTTCAGTCTGATGGTGCCAATACCTTGTAAAAACAAGCAACTTTGGAGTTCTGTTGCTTATATGTTTCAAAAGGCTCTTGATCAGCAGGAACGTATATTTTGGTCCCGTTACTTAGGTATGTAAATGTAATTTAAGGGGTGATTCTAGGGATCAAAATAAGACGAAAATCAAGAATAACAAAATAGCGTTTGTGGCTTTATTTAAAAATTCGAATAAAATGCGCCTGAAACCTGCAACCCGCCCAGCACCGACGACTGAACGTCAGGTCGGCAGGGGTTGGTACAGTCATAACCAAGAATCGTTGAATAGTAGAAACCTACCTCGTGCTATTCTGTTTTTCGGTACTGCAGCATTCGACTTCGATTCTTGGTTATGACTGTACTGACCCCTGCTGACCTGACGTTCAGTCGTCGGTGCTGGGCGGGTTGCAGGTTTCAGGCGCCTTTTACTCGAATTTTTAAACGTTGATTATTGGAAAACAAAGCCCTAGAACCACCCTAGAATCACCCCTTAAAATTTTGCCCACCTGTTGTCGAACACCCTGAACAAGTTGGTGCTAAACATTTATTTATTTTAAACTGAAGATACTTACATTGGTCTACATTTGATTCGTTGGTTAATGGGAGGACACGTTACCATGGAATTTTCTCATGTGTTTGACAGGACAGTTACTTATAACGTAACAATACCCAAGGCAGCTGGTATACTTGATGTTCCTAAAACATTTACTATAAATGGTTAGTACAGTTTTTGCACATAAAGTCATAGTGTTGTCTGCTGACTTGACTTTAAGTACAAATGTGTAAATTTAGATGTAATGACTTCTACTCAGAGTGTTCCAATGAATGTTCACATTGCACCTTTCACTGGAAGATTGTTAGAAACAACGTTAACATTAACATCGGTTAATGGTAAAGAACTAAGGAAATATACTGTTAGTTTCTTAAAGTAAGTGACATCGATTGGGATTAGCTTATATTTATATTAACAAAACTTATCATGTTACATTCATGTTTTTTTTATACAACTAATAATTAACATTTGGTTCTTCTACATTACTTTATGAAAATTTCAAAGATAAATTGAAAATTGAAATTCTTACAATAATACTATACAATTGGCGAGTGATGATGTTTCCAAAATAATCTGATAACCCTTTTAAAATAAAAGTACAAGGTAAATGTAGAATGAAACGTGTTACACGTTTGAATATTTATTTCCATAATGGTGTGAGATGTAACGAATGTTGACGTATGAATATTTTTTATCAATGGTTTACATAAAATATGTTACAATAAATTTATAATCAATAAACCGATACTATTTACTAATTAGAGTATTCATAACCATCTAGTAATATCATGAGATTAATATAATTATTATTTTTTCCATTTTTTTTCTTTTTTTCTTTTGAATTAAATGCTCATAGACATAACATGATCGTAGTTATATTATTATTTTTTTTTTTTTATCCGAGTACATGACATATTAATGAGATCCATTCGCAACTAATTTCACAGATTCCAATTGCACGCATACTATTTTTGCTAAGGGCGGTTCAAACAATGACGATTCAGATGTATTTGTGATTATCTCGCAAAAAATCCGTATATTTATAATATCGAAATTCGATGCGAATGTCTCTGTTTAACTAGCTATAAATATGACTATATCCGCCCATCGCCAATGATTTTTCTTCTACAAAAATCTCAAATCGAAGTTAATCGCTACGTATAATGAAATCACAGATCAATTGGACAAAAATTTAATCCTAACTTAGATAAATATAATTTGCATTTTAAAATTAATCATTCTACATAAATTCATATAACGACGAATGTTTCTTCTTCTTTCATTTTTCTTTTTTTTTTTTTATCTTATTATAAATGTCTTTTAACATTTATCAACTTGCTCTTCAGCTACGATATTTTTGTTATGTTAATGCCATGATATGCCAGTGATTCGTTTGTGCTTCACATAAATGACACCTCTTTGTTTTTTTTTTTTTAAAGTACGTTCTCTTCCTTTCACGTGTAAAACGTACATAAGTTATTATAAATATACTAAACTAGCGAGGAGGTAATAAAAAAACTTGCGCTGGACGGAGTCTACACATTCATCATTTATATACATATATCTGTCGTGCCAAGCTTCGCTCGTTAAACTATTTCACAGTGTCGTCTATCTACCAATTTTGATATTCTTAACAGTGAGCATGAAAAGTTGATTGGATGAGACCACAGTTTTCAGAACGTACAACCCTTATACAACTCAGGCTTCTGTTAGTTAAAAACCGTTGGATCAAGAGAAACCTATGATGTACCAAAGTGTACAGGTGTGAAACATGCACGTACCGCCTACAGGGAGAGATACAATTTATTTCAATAATATTGACCGTCTTTCGTCGTAACGTTGTGTGGTTTTTGATTATTCGAGGATCGAAACTGAATTAGCGCAGGGTACATAGACAGTATATAGGTTAATTCGCACAATTCAGAATAACTTCACCTTGTACACGGGTCTACCTAAGGTAAACCTAATTATCGTAGAAAGAGTGTGTACGTAACAAGTGTTATGATCGGGAAGACGCGTGCAGTAGTTAGAGCCGCGGATAAACAGGCACAACGTATGATAACAAAAATATATTACTAATTGAGAAATGAAATTGGCGCCGAACCTAACTTATATTAATCCTGAAACAAACTGGGGTTGACCATCGCGATCAAGGGTAAGCTGAGGTATTACACTCGATGATGGCTGGAATGTTGATCCTTGGAAACCCATCGCTGATTCGTATAGCTGCAGAGATTCGTAAAGTGACTAAAAAGTTTCAAGATTACCAGAGTCTTACTTACATTATGGTTTCCTGGAAGCGTTGTGTAATCTGGTGTCGTTGGGCGATGCCTGTTCGTTGGCAGTGGACGCTGTATGGTAGCATAAGTATTATCCTGAGACGTGTCACCTATACCAACGCTCACACCACTTCCACGTCTTTCTGTACCTAGTCCACCTTCAGGTTCGCTGAATACTTGCATCGTTAACTCTTGCTCCTCGTATAGTTTAAGTTTCCTAAATAGATTAACAATAAAACGTATACACTGCTTTCCTATAGAGGCAGACATTGGTGTCTACTCACTGTTCAATCCATAAAGGATTCTCTGTGGTGTTCAACTCGTCGATGATTTGCTTCTTTATCAGACCATCTTTCTTTCTTATATCGTTTGGTACAGTGATCACCCTGGAATGATACCATAGCATACATCCTTTGAAATTTTTATATTACATCTTCCATTACTATTTACCAATGACGCAAACAGCAACAGACTACTGTTACTGTGACTGCACCGACTAGCAACACCACCAATAAAGCTATTAAAGCTGCAAGGGCAGGGTCGAATGATTCCTCTTGTACTCCAGCATACGCAGGCTGCAAAAGTTACAATATTATTGGAAATACTGCATTATAGGGGTGCTGCTCCAGAAAATTTTTAGCCTTTGTTTGAAAAAACCGCCACTGCGGGAGCGACAGTGCTCTCCCGCGCAGCCTCGCGCGCAGCTTCCTATGTGCGCATGCGCACTCGGTCAAACACCACGCCGCGGGAACTTTGAAGCGCACAGTTCCATATAAAGATTTTTGGATCTTTTTTATAAACTGGGGGATGGCTACTGACATTAAGTGCACTTACCACCACATTTTCGATAGCAAAACCTGCATAGTAGTCCTTCAAGAAATCATACTTTGCATCTATGACTTTGAGCACCTGGGGTACAGGAGCTATAGTATTGGTCCTTGGTTCCACAACGTGTAAATACATATCACACCTGTAAAATATATTCAAATAAAATATGATGTTCAAAGAATTTATTTAAACAATCTTTTTACCATTCTCTTCGAATATGACCAGAAGCATCTACATGGTACCGTATATCATCAACGACAACTCTGCTCTGAGTCGCGTTCGACAGTTCTGATACAAACTCGTCACGTTCGCGATTCACTTCTTCGGGGGGTCTTGACAGGATCACTCTTATCAACTGTGTGGGTTCAAATACCCAGACCTAGACCGGTGGAACAAATAAATAATGAATAATTGTAAACAGTGAAAAATAACGCTATTAAAATAACTTACATGAACCCTAGTCATAGCGTATCGTTCTGGAATGACTATTTCCTTTGCTATAACTTCAACGATAAACCTGTGCTGATTGTACTCCGCCATGTATCCACTTGTCAGAATTTTACCATCCTGGGTAACGTTAAACGGACTCGGAACGATAGAACCACTCGGTTTATCTGAACCGTATTTATAAAGATTAGCACTGGCAATATAATAATGAAGGGTGCCGTTGTCGCCGACGTCCAAGTCGGAGGCGGTCACTTTCGTTACGAAATCATTGATGTTCGCCATTGAATTAATCCCCGCGTAGTAGTCGTTACGTTCGAATATCGGTGGGTTATCGTTCTCGTCTAGAATAGTTATGGTCACGTTTGCGTGCCCGTGGTCTGTGCTGTGAGCCATCGAACGTCCCGCGTCTGCAGCATTGATGTAAATATTAGGATCATTCGAGGCTAAAATTAACAGAACGTATTTGTCACGAACTTCGCGATTGAACGACTTGTTCGCGTAAATACTGCCGTCGGATTTGTCCAGATAAAAAGCGTAATCTTCGTTTCCTGAAAAAAGAAAAGCATGTATAAAGTGTTCCATTTAGAGATTTTTAAATATATATACAGGGTGTTCGACAATAGGTGGGGAAAATTTCAAGGGGTGATTCTAGGGATCAAAATAAGACAAAAATCAAGAATAATGAAATAGCGTTTGTGGCTTTGTTTTCCAATAATTAACGTTTAAAAATTCGAGTAAGAAGCGCCTGAAACCTGCAACCCTCCCAGCACCGACGACTGAACGTCAGATCAACAGGGGTCGGTATAGTCGAATGCTGCAGTACCGAGGGAATAGAATAGCACGAGGTAGGTTTCTACTATTCAACGATTCTTTGTTATGACTGTACCGACCCCTGCTGACCTGACGTTCAGTCGTCGGTGCTGGGCGGGTTGCAGGTTCCAGGCGCTTTTTACTCGAATTTTTAAACGTTAATTATTGGAAAACAAAGCCCTAGAATCACCTTAGAATCCCTAGAATCAGCCTAGAATCAGCCTAGAATCCCTAGAATCACCTCTTAAAATTTTGCCCACCTGTTGTCGAACACCCTATATATTATTACCTACCAGCTTCTATGTAGTAATAAACTTTGGCGTGCCTGCCCTCGTCCTTGTCTTCCGCGGTTACTTTTCCTATAAAGTAGTCTTTAGGACGATTTTCAGACACGTGGAAATGATACTCGTCGTAGAACAGTGGCGCGTTGTCGTTGGTATCAACCAACTGTATAGTGAGTAGCCTTAAGGTTTCATATGCTGTTGGGGTGCCATGATCTGCAGCCACAAGTACCAGCTGAAACGATATCTCCATTAATATTATTGTCTATAACAATTATTAATACCGTACAAAAGAATCTACCTCGAATTTACTCTTCGCTTCGCGATCAAGAATGATCTTTGATCTCAGTTCGCCCGTCTCTTGGTCTATGGAGAATTCTTCCGTCTCTTGAACATTCCTATTCCCCACTTTCAGATGATAACTTATGCGACCATTTTCACCAGGATCTCTGTCGATCGCTTTCACCGTTAATATTAAATAATTTGATACCCCAGTGTTCTATAAAAGCATCATTAAATAATGTTTCATTTAATAAATGATTTATGGAAAGGGGGGTGATCGTCATGGGCATCCGCAGGATTTTTATAGAGGGGGGGCATGATATAAAATATCACTTCTAGAGACAATAAATTCGACATCCGACTCTCTCCCTATCCAAGGGGGGCCAAGTGCCCCGGTTGCCCCCCCTTGCGGACGCCCATGGTGATTGTCCACGTACTTCAGGCACTTCAACGGTGGCGTTCGTTAATTCAGGTAGAACAAATTGTGGTTTGTGCTGATTGACCGGTGTCACCCTGATGTCGACGTAGCACCTGTCCGAGTGTGGACCACGGCCAGCACCGTCCCTCGCCTCTATATTTATCGTGTAAGAGCCAGCCCTTCCGAGAAGGGCCGCGCCAGGGTACAGGATACCTGTTTCGTGGTTTAAAGAGAACGACTCGTTCTCGTTACCGCCCATTATCGTGTACCATACTTCTCCATTGATCCCTTCGTCGTGATCCGCAGCTCTAACCTTATAAGAAACGTACATTGCTTTTAATATTTGATTCTCCAAAAATTTCATAAGGGGTACGCTTACCTGTAAAATCGGCGCCGGTGGATTT